TAAAAATAATATAACTATAATTATTTGTATAACTATAATAGTTGTTGCGGATCGAGCCAATTGCCTGTCTTTAGGTTTACTGCTTGAACCCAGTTTTACACATTAACGAAACCAGGTTTTGGTTCAAACCTTGTTTAGTCATATATTTTGATAATTTAAATATAGCAATTCAATTTTTAATATAAAACTGCGCGCCTGTTCTACTGCAAATAGTCCAAGTCGTACCTATTTTCATATACAAGATGAGCGGTATATTTGATATCCACCAAAACTTGGCATCAGGCAATTGTGGTTAGATAAATCCAATTTCTGGGTCCAAGTTATCTATTCCAAATCATTTTTGAAAACCATAAGAGTATGATTGAGTAAGATTTTTGATTCGACTCTTTTTTGTTTGTAATTAAACTTGCATTTTGAAGTTAGCAAATAATATTTTTAAATTTAATAAAAATCTAAATAATTTATATAAAGTTAGAATATAAAAACGTATTTATTATGGATTTCAGAACTTGAACAGTCACGTTTCAGCACTTCCTCAGCTTGTGCCCGTTTCGAGTGCATTTTCAATCTTCCAACTTATGTTTTGATCAATTGTCACGAGCAAATAACAATAAAATAAAACAAAATAAAGTAAGAAAACAAATCGTAACGAATCGAAGCAGAGGCACGATTAATTTAATGAACTTCTACAATGCAGAGTCTCGCAGAGTGTGAGTCCGAGTGCGATTGCGAGTGCTTTAATCAATCGCTCAAATTTCAATCTTGACCCAGTGGCTATGTGTCCGACCTGAAGGCCCCCCCCCCCACTCAGATCGGATGGGGTCTGGGCAATGGAAACGCCCTATGTTGTGGTTGCGGCGATTCCATTTCACATTGATTGCTCACATTTCCCGCCCAATCGATGACAATCTTTCAACGAATTTAACACTTTTGGTTTTAATTTAGTGTTTGTTTCTGTCGTGTTTTGTTGCTATTTGTTCCCTTTTTTTCTCTCTCAGCAATTTGTTAATTTCTTTATTGGTTTTTATTGTCATTGTTGTCCGTGTTTCTTTACTATTTCTTCTGCTGGGAAAGTGGAAACTTATTGTGTTGTCTTTAGATTCTTATTGTTACATTTAGTTGATTGTCTTTGGCGATAATGAGGGGGCCAACGCGGGGTGTGCGCGGTTAGACACTTGAGTGGTATCAGTGAAAGCGTCGACTGGTTAGTGATTTTGGGGATTGGTGTTGCTGCGACTAATAACTCGATGGATTTGAAGTTGAAGTGTGCCTGATGACATTTGCTATCCCGCTGTACTCCCCGCTTTTTGTAGTTTGTTTCTTTCTTGTGTTGTTTATCAACTTTCGCCATGATTTATTGGCCAGCATTTTCGGTCATTGCGACATTAATCTCTGTGACTCTCTGAAATAAATAAATATTATTTAAATGTTTATCTTTGCTTATCTTCAATATCGAAAGGTTATTAACCCAAGTCAACCCAACCATAGCTGTAGCTGCCACAGCCTCGGTTAAAACCATGCAACTTTGTTGCTGCCATCTGCCAGCGCTCCTCATTTGGCATCGCGTGCCGCCACATGCTGCACTGGGAAGTCTGTCTCCAGTTGGAGCCAGCAGCCAGCGCAGCCGGCGGGAGGCGGCCCTGGCATGCCAATTTTAAACCCTTGCTCCTTATAAGCATGCTTGTATATGTACGTGTTTGTGCTATCCGCCTTTTATAGCCGGAGCGCGCGAAACATTTGCTCGTTGACTGCCTGCCAGCCGCCTGGTCAAGGTTAACTATGCGATCCAATGAGCTGCGTTCCGATTGGCAAATAACCTCCAGAGTCGTCTGTCAATGTCAACGTTGGACTCGCCGCGTGCATAGAGATGAGCTCAACGAGCTCCAATACCCAGCATAACTGAGCAGCATTTTAATCTGTGGATCAGCATTGATCAGCTCATAAGTCGCCAAACTGAGCTAACAAATCAAATGAATATAATTCAGAAACAGTCTTACAGCTAATATTTAACAGAGATAAGTGTCTAGACTCTTGGGAACTTAAAGTAGTTAAAAATTTAATGTTACAAAATTGCTTGCGAAACCCAAAATTAGCTTGTGGTTTTTGTGCATTTGTTAGGCAATGTTTATTCCAATTGCAACATAATATTGTGAAATATTACAAATATTAGATGTACAAATAATTGTTAAAAACTCACAAGATTGTGCAACATTTACAAAATATGTCTGACATATTTAAGAATAGTACAAATTGTATAATTAATTTTATCTCTTTGCCTAACTGTTGAGAATTATTGTAAGAATGCGTGCAACTTTTTTTAAAGACGTTGACTGAGTTTTAAATGAGCTGCAGCTTGTTTTCGCTAAAGACCTCAAGAAAGTGATTATTATCGCTGTTCTCTTACTGTCTCCGAACATCATTTATTTACAATTTAATTATTGTTTGCGCCGCTCACCTGTTATTAGCTGTTTATATAAATGGCGCTAATCGCAACTTTCCTGCCCAGACGCAAACAATTTGCCACTCGCATGCGCCCATTTAATCAGCAAAGTATTTGAAAAACAAAAACTGGCACAGAGCAGATCAATTGTAAAATCAATTTCCCGCTGACAGGTTTGTTGCGCAAGCGCCGCAGCAGCTGCAAAAAAAAAATGATAATAAAAAAAGCAAACTAAATGAATTTTAAAAGTAATTTGGTTTTGGCCTGGCCTAGTTGAATCCCTCGGGCATTTTTAGTAATGCGAACTGCACCAGTTGGCACTTCGGTGCTTAAGGCCCGCTACTTGACAAGCTGCCACCCACATTTTTAGCCACAGCAATAATAAAGGCAACCACGACAACAACAATGCGCATGCATTATGCATGACACAGTGGCAGTTGCCCAAACGTTGCAACATTCGCCACTCGATTAACTCGCTCACGTGTGTGGCGGGCGGCATTTTCCTGACCATTTTCTTGATTAGTTTTTGTGCAACCACAAAAATGCTTTTCTTTTCGGGGCCACACCCACACGCACTGAGTGAAAGTTGTGTGACAAAAAATTCTACAAATGCCACTTAAAAAGTTTTCTGTTGTTGTTGTGTTTTTTAATCAAATGCGTGCGAGTTGCCTTCGAAAATCGAGTGAAAATTGTCGAAGTCAGCGACATTGCCAAATTTCACTGTTGCAAACGAAACAAATTTAAATTCGCTACACATTAAACAAAAGTATAAAAAATAAACTAAAAAAGACAAAGGCTGTGCTCAACTTGCAGATACCATTGATCCATTACAAATATCAAAAGCTTGTTATCTTCAAATGTGCTTGAAATACGCTTCATTTTTAATATTATTAAAAACCCAGGAGTGACTTTCAGTCGATACAAATAAAGCCCTCTTTTTTCCATAGTACATAGAATCTTCAAACTTTCAGATAGCTACCCTAACTGCCTATCTGTGTCCACTTTTGTTGAGTACAGGGTATACGAAATGCAGGTAAAACGAAGAAGACCCAAAAAACGTAAAGCTTGTGGCCCAAATAGTTTGTTATTGAGGACTGATGTTGATCATGATCATGATAACAACCTGTAAACTGTGCTCCATTATGTAATTGGTTTTTGAATTTGTGCAGCTTATGCAAATTCGCATGTTTGAGGCCAGCTTTAAACTTGGTCTATTTACCGTTTTTTGAGTGCTTTAAATTCAATTTGTTTGCCGATTTGACGAGTTTGTGGCTGTTGTTTTATTGTTGTTTTTTGGTTTTGTGGGCGTGATTGGCAACGTCTTTTGATGTTACGTATTTTGTTTTATTTTTTTTCCTTTTATTTTTATTGTTGTTATTTTTGTTGCGTGCGAAAAAGTAAAAAGTGGAGCACAGTTTGTTGTTTTGCCTCTCTATTGACAAATTGTATTGAATGGCATTGCAAATTGCCGCAGCATAACTCGAACATTATGTCACCGAGGTTTGAGGAAGTTGCACAGCTTGACGACTTCCATATTCGCTGTAGCTACTGTAAATGACTTATTTCGTTTGCTAACGTTTAGCATAATATTGAGTCTAAATAGTTTGCAGTAGCTGCTAATTGGAGCCAGTCTCTTTATGGCATTTTCTAGTTTTGTATTTTTCTGCTTATTGTTATAGCCAGTACCCATTAAAAATGGGCTGACAAGGGTGTAATAAAGTTGTGGAAATATACACAACAGGCAGAATATCTCTCTCTATTTCTATCTCCATCATTTCCTCTATCTTTATCTCTATCTATATTGCTACATTTAGCAGGACAACGAAATTAGACATTTACATATTTGTTTAAGACTCTGTTTTCATTTATTCCAATGCATATCGCCTTTCTATGCAATTTTCAAAAACTCAGGTAATGCTAACAGATTTACATTCTTTTGATGAGGATGCGGGAGTGCATGAGTTGAATGGAGAAAGAGTAAGGTAAACCCAATAGTTGATAGAGAGAGCGTAATATTGAAAGAAAGAAAGAGAGGGAGAGAAATAGATAAAGAGGGAGAGAAATAGAGAGTGCGATTTTCTAATAAATTTAAATACATTATAATGTGATGATATAGCTGGGTGCAGGCTAACATTTCATTACTTCCTTGTCGGATAATTATTGTTTAAATAGATCACTTTTAGTTGCTAAAGCATTTGGTAAATTGCTTAAATTATGGCAGCTAATTGAAAAGCTATATTGCGATCTTTATCCACACACTACTTGAAAGCCCGCTATCTTAATCTTACATATAATTCAATTAAATTTCATTAATGCGATTGTGTTGCGTATACGCCACGTTGCTGTCACTCGCATGCTGTGACGCAGTTGCTGCTCTAATAAAATACAAAACTCAATTAATTTTGTTCAGCGCAGATTTCTTGATTTGCTCACGCAATTCAGTTTCTCTTTGCTGGCTCAATGTCAATTTTTAAAATTAACAAAAAATTTCTTTTCAAATATTTTGTTGTGCGACGCAAACAACTAATCCGCATCATGTGTCATCTTATTTCATTTGCAGGATCAGTACGATAATCTTTCAATACACACAAACAAAGGCATTGAAGTGCTCGATAAATATGCCAATTTTTTACGCGATCGAGTGGCCATAGAAACGGAATATGCCGGCAAATTAAGGTGAGTACAGTGAAATATATAAATCTAGAATTAAATAGTTGAGGTATTAAGATAATAATCATAATTAGGACAGACTCAGACTAAGCTGAAAAATACTTGAGATAATATAAACATTTACAGCTTAAACTCAACACCTCATTTGTTGAGATGTTATTAAAAAATGTTGTAAAATAATTGTAATTACAAATGCTTTTAAAGCCGCCCAAAAATGTGTAAATCATGTGGCGCCACTTAATGGCCATATTTGTACGTCAATTAAATGATTTTTTGTACGGTTTGCTGGCAAAGGCCTCGCCCGTTTGCGGGCCAGCGGCCTGTCAAGACAAAAACAAATAAAAAAACAACAACAAGTACATAACAAACAATTCCTTACAAAAAACAAGACACTTTAAACTGAACGCGAGTGCAATTCTCATAAATATAAAGTTTTTTTCATATAAATAAATTGAAATCTGAAATAAGCACAAGGTCAGCCAGTTCTAGAGATTGTGCTCCGGTGCATTGTGTCCAATGGCCATTCCTGGGCAGCAGCTAAGCTGAACTGACGCTGGCGCAGGGGAAGGGGAGAGGGGCTATATATATAATAATTAACTAATTATATGCTTTGTGGCCAGCACAGAGAGCGCTCATAAAGATAAAAATGGCTTTTGCGCCGCACTTCAATTAATGCCCTTTTTACAAGCGACAACATGGGCTCAATTTCGAGAATGCTGTGCCGCACCTCGTGTATGGGCGGGTTGTGTGTAGGGAGCGGGCATGTAGGGTGTGCGCGTTGGTACCCACCCCAATAATATGCGCGCATGGCTGTGTCCAGCTCGCCAGCTAAATTGCGCAATAGACTGACAACTGAATAAACAAGAGACGACCGCGACCTGCCCCACGCAACTGACACGCGACTAAGAGTGGAGCGCGCGGGGGAGAGGGGTGGGGTGTAGCTGATAATGCTGCCCATTTAATATGATTGAGCTTGAGTAACACCGAGCCCAGGCTGTATGTACTTGCAACTGGGCGTCATAATTGTATAATTTGCTTGAAGATTCAGACCGCCGCCGTCGCCGCTGTTGCTGCTGCTGCGGCTGCTGCTTTGGGCCAAGCTGTTGGAGCACTTGGGAACGCTGGCTCGCAACGTGGCTATCGTTAGCTGCCTCTTCTTTTCAAAACTGTATTTCTCAATGCGGTGGCGTCTGTTCCCACAATTTGAATGCCGCAAAATGAGTCGAGAGTTGGCTTGATGACTGACTGAACTGAACTGAACTGAGCTGAACCGGGCGAACTGTGCCTGATATGCCTGCAGCTACTCTACGGTCTGAGCCCTTTATAATGACATTATCATTGCGACGCGGCGTTGGCGGCGTCTCTTCCCAGGCGCCCAACTAGACCACAAATGCGGCCGCATTGAATGAAAAACACTCTCTGTATATTAAATATATATTTATATATATATATATTCATATATATACATATGCCATATTGTAGTTAGTGAAATCTGAAATCTGTGGTCGGGTAGACTGAAATTTGAAGAGTGCTTTGCGTGTCCCGCAATGCCGAAATGAAAAGTCTCGTGTTAATGCAAATGTTTTAACTTGGCGCTGTTGTTATTATTATTATTGTTGTAATAATAGTTATACATAGTGGTTGTTATTGTTATTTCTTTCTATGCATAAACAAAGTTTCACTAATGCCATGCTCTTTTGATTTTCTTTTTACAGGCGCTTAGTGAAAAATTATCAGCCCAAAAAGAAGGAGGAGGAAGACAATGAGTAAGCACAAAATATATAAAACTTAAATGTAGTTGTAAGCAACAACAATGTATATAGAAAAAGAGAAGTTAGACAGCTGTTAATTGCAACAGCTCAACGTTGAGTATACCCTGTAACTGAAATCAGAGTGAAGAGTGGGGCAAATTTGATTTCTTTGAGAGAGTTTCTTCAGTTCCAAAACTTTCATACTTCATACATTCTGCTCTTTGAAAATAACTATGCCCTTTGCCACACTTTGTGCAGGGTATTCCCAAAATTGTTGATGGTTTTCTTTAACACGATTGCGCAAAAGTTTGTTTAATCTTTTGGAAAATTATCCATAATTTGTGCGATTTGCTATTTGGCATACATGTAAGCAACGTGTTAAGTGTTAATTTTGGCCAACGCTAGCGATGACTCTCATATAACCAATTGCGTGTCTGTGGCATTTCATTTGTGAGAGAGACTCGTATGGGAAGCATGATTGTAGCCACTTTAGGGTCCACATGTTCCATGTGTGGTCTGAGAATATTGTGCGGCCTGCCACTCAGTTTTAATTACATTCATTCCATACAATTTGCGGCCGCCTGACATCATGGCTCGCAAATAGCTCGGCGCAAATCTTTGCTAGCATTTGTAATATGACAATGGAGCTGTTGCGTCCAAGTTGAAGAGTTGGTAATGAAATGCCAGGCAGCTCTCTCGATAGCTTGACGTTTCGCCTTATACAGTTGTAAAATCCATATATTTATTCATGATTGCCGCTCGGCCTGGAACTATACCATATGCGGATTGACAGACTGGCGGACAGACTGGCGGACAGACTGTGGCGACGACAGCGTCGTGTGGGTGTTCAGTGCGCGTCATAAAGCGCGTGTCCAATAAGAGGGCCATAAATCGCCATAGCCAGTGCTTGGGTCTTGGTCTTGGTCTTGGTGCTGAGGGACAGACATTGGAAGTAGTTTGTAGCCCAAGGCGCGAAAAGGCGTGGGTCGACTGTAAACCCAGTTAACTAACTGATTGCCTGGCCTGCTGTTTACAGATTTACATCGAGGCAAGCGTTCCGCAATCTGCTCAAGGAGGTGGGCGATTTGGCGGGGCAGCGTGAGGTGGTGTCCGAGACCCTGCAGCTACAGATAATCCAGGGTGTGACGTTGCTATCGAAAACACTGCGAGAGGACCGCAAGGTAATGTCTATTGAACTTTTCACATTTATATATGTTATTAATCATCTCTCATCTTTCTATAGAAATGCCTTAATGATGGCACAATGCTGCAACAGACCCTCAGCGCACAGCTCTCGTCATTGGAGCGCGCCAAGCGCAACTATGACAAAGCCTATCGGGATTCGGAGAAGGCTGTTGAGAATTACAAGAAGGCTGACATGGATTTTAATCTGAGTCGCGCCGAAGTGGAGCGTTACAAGAACATTATGACGTCCAAAATACAGCAGTCGGATGATGCAAAGAACGAATACGCCAATCAGCTGCAGAAGACAAACAATCTCCAACAGCAACACTATGGTATATTATTGCCCGCCGTTTTCAATCGGCTGCAAGAGCTGGACGAGAAGCGTACGCGTGGCATACGCGAGTTCATTATTGGTGCCGCCGACGTTGAGTCCTCGGTGGCACCTATTATTGCGCGCTGCATGGAAGGCATTGTCAAGGCCGGCGAATCCATCAACGAGACGGAAGACTCGTTAAAAGTCATCGAAAGGTTTGCATAAAAAACTCGATTTACTTCTGTTCGGGCATAGCTAAACGTTTTCATCACCATTTCAGATATCAATCGGGCTTCACACCACCAACGGACATACCATTTGAGGATCTGTCAAAGATGGACCCCAGCGCAGTGCCGCAATCCAACTACAGCAGTGTTCCCTACAATCACTTGACCATTAAGAGCGGCACGCTGACCGCCGCAAAGCTAAAGAAGGCCCGTGGCGGCATCTTGAACAGCATCTTTGGCAGCAACAAGGTGAGAGCAGTCGTTGGCGATTCCCGCTTCTGGTTCAGGTTTACAATTTAGCTGCAAGCTCCTCAAGCCGTTTTATTTTATTTCTTTCTAAGTGCTCCTCTGTTATGTTCATGTCTCTATCCTATCTCTATCATTGCCTGGCACACACTGTCTCTCTATCTCTCTCTCTTACTCTCTCCGTGTCTGTTTGTTGCGAGAGATTCCACCAGTCAGCACAATTGCCTCTTGTGTTTCAGATGCTTCTTGATTAGTTTTAAGTTAATTCTTAAGTCGTAGGTTTTGTGTCTTCTTCTTATAGTTTTACTCATGCCGTCTCTATTTTTCTGTTCTTATTTCATTTATCGAAAACAAAAACAAAAATCGTTATGCCATTTCTTTTATTTATGTCACGAAACTTACGTTGGACGTTGGTTCCACCTTGCTGTAAGTACCAAGTGTCCAGCTGCCTGTCCAACCTATCCCAGGCAGCTCAGCGCCGTTTCGTTTCGTGTCCTCCCATCTCATGTCTTACATGTCGACTAAACCAAACAATGATTGTTGCAGTCTTTCATATATATATACCATACTCAACACCCTATAAACATACATTTAACAATTGCATACGAATTTGTATATTTTATGTCTCTGTTTGACAATTATTAAACAAAATTTTACATTAGTTATGCAACAATTGGCTGCTTACGCTTTTCACTCGCTTTTCCATTATTATTTAAAAATTCGCCACAGACACAACCACAAGGAACAGTTCACAAATATTAATTGTATTTAACTCTTTAATTTCTTTTATGCATATTTGTTGCTGTCATACAATTTTCTAACACAAAAAACATGCTTTTACTTACACATACATACACACCCACACCCACACTCGGAAAAACTAAAACGAAAACAAAATGTGATACGTTTTCAATGTAAACAAAATAAATGTTAAATAAATCAATAATAAATCAATTCGCTGCCAATAGCAACGGCAGATAATTGAAGCTTGTATCACGATGAAGGTATGATGTAAATTCCAGCTCTTCTAACTAACTAACTGCTCTTAACACCAATTACTAATAAGCATTTAACTACTAATCACAACTGCTAAACATAATCAAAAAACACTAGCAAATTTATTTAGCCTCTTCATTGAGTCACATTCACTTTGAACACCTAACCTTAAGAACAACATTTAACTAAAACTTATTAAATGAAATATAATAATTAATATTATATATGCGATTTTCAAACATTCGTTAAATAGTTGGTTAGTTAGCAACATGCCACAGCAGCACACTAACACACTGCAAAAAAAAAATATTTAACTTTAATTTAAATTTAATAATAATTTATAAAAAATTCAAGCATGTTTTTTGTTTTTATTTTTCTTGCGACATGCAGTTTGATTATTCTGACATTGTTTTTACTAATTATTTTCAATTCATTACATTTCTTGAAATTCTATTCAATTTCTGTTAAGTTGTCTATTTATTTTGTATACCCTATCTATGTAAACAACTGGCGTCTGCTAAACGTTGTGAATGTGTTTGTTAAAATTGTTGTTCCGTCATTTCTGTCTTGTATAGTACTCATCGCACTTTTACATACCATATATATAACATATATATATTTATGTATATGTATGTATAGATTTTCTTAAGCCCAACAACTAATGCTCTTTTAATTCGTATCTAGAATTCACTAACTGCGGACGGCCAAAAGGAGGACTTTAGCGATCTGCCACCGAATCAGCAGCGCAAAAAGCTGCAGGCGAAAATTGCCGAGCTGCAGCATAAGGTCGATCAGGAGACGAACACACGTGATGGCCTGATGAAAATGAAAATCGTTTATGAGGCGAACTCATCGCTGGGCAATCCGATGACTGTTGAGGGACAACTGAACGAATCCGAACATGAATTGGAAAAACTGAAAGTGAATTTGAAAAAATATCAAGGCTTTTTGGACAAGGCTAATCAGCTGCAGGTGGCCAACAATAGTCCGCAATCGAATCGTAATCAATTGCAAAACGGACACCGAACATCCAGGTGAGTACATCAATAAGCAACCCAGCTAATGATGACCATTTAACGTGACATTACTCAATGTTTTCTTCTGCAGACATTCCAATGGCAGCGCCAGCGCTGATGATCATCATGATGGCGATGATCAGCCCGATGATGCTGGCAGCTTAAGCAGGTCAGATTCTGAGGATAATGTGGCGCAAATTCAAAATGGGCATAATAATAACAATAACGGGTACACTCATAAGTCTACGTTCAATGTTTATATATTCACTCAGCTACACATTAATACATATACATACACACACACAAACAGTACACACACTTACACATTCATACATTATTGTATGTCGTATATCGCTTATGATTTGGATCATTTTTGTATAATTTCTATTGTACATGGTTTGTTGTTCATTTTATTTTGGTGACATTTTATGGTGTTGGTTCCGTTTGTTCATATTTTACACGTATGATTTGTCATCAGCGAAACTTTTAAGTAACAGGAACAAGTGCCCACTAAAAAGAAAGTCCACTATATGCCAAAGAAACAAAATTTATATTGATTCATTTGATTTGTATTCAATTATCTAAATTACTTTAAGTTCTTATTCAATTTTAATTGCTTACATCATACATTTAACACGTAATAATGTCCAAATTGCAACTTCTTCAAATATTTCGTTTCATTTTGCCTTTCCATGGTGAAATCCAGCAGTTCGGCAAGTCCCGAGAGCGGCCTAGGCACCTCGCATACGTCACTGCCCGGCTCCGGACAGGGCAGCGCCAATGAAAATGCCACTGGCGAGGAGACGTCCTACGAAACCGAAGTGGAACTGCTACAGCCCCTAGGCACATGTCGGGCGCTGTATCCCTTTGAAGGTGAGTCGTCAAATGTGTTAATTAAGTAACTCCTCTTATCTAATTAACTTGTCTATCTTGCCCCCCATCAGCTACCAGCGAAGGCAGCATACCCATGAACGAGGGCGAGGAGCTGCAAGTGATTGAAAATGATCAGGGTGATGGCTGGACGCGTGTGCGGCGAGCGAACAACTCAAATGGCTGGGACGAGGGCTTTGTGCCGACGAGTTACATTGAGTGCACACTCTTTGCTTAGATTCGTTCGTAGGGACGAGGCAGGCAGTTTAAAATGTTAACTACTTAACAGCATTTGCATATGTTCCATACATTTGTGTACTTTTGTCATAACTTTGCGTTATACTGGACAGCCATAAAACATGAATACCATACCAACTATCACGCATACACATCTAACGCACAACCATGTACATTCGTTTTAAGATAAGCTAAAAATTGTCTTTTCTATACACAGTGTTGGTATATTTACTTTGATTTAAAATCGCATTGATTATAAAGTAGAGAACAACATATTATATAAAATACGGTCACTAATCATAGCTACACACATATATATAAAAATATATATATATATATATATATATATATATATAACAAAAATATACATATGTGCACCCCACGAAAAGACCTCACCTAATGTAAGCAAACGCAATGAAACGTTTCTCTTTTCACAACAGAACTACAAGTATAACAATCATGTATTAACTATTTATATACACATATATATATATAAATAATTTATATGGCACACATTTTTCACATTCGTCATGAAAAATAAGCTGGTAAACATATTGATTGAAAGCATTAAAACCTAAACGCACCTAGCAATATGCTTACTAGATTTATTTTTTATAATCACATTTCATATTTAATGGCACCTGCTACTTTTCGAGCTGACCAAGAAAAGCAACAGTAATTGTGGCTATTAGATAAAAATGAATACACTAAAACGCACCTTCAATCATTAATAAATCTATAAAGAAATGCATTAATATAGGAGAGAAAAGCTTCCATGAACCACATGCGAAGAAAGTCTCCTTAACGATTTACTTATAGCAAAAGTTATGACAATTTTGCATTATGCATGAGGCATATGCGAATTGGAAAGCAAAGAGCGAGCTAGCTTGTTATATATGGAATAGCAACAATTGTACATTTTACTTTACGCATTATGCAAAAAACAAAAACTTAATTATAATTTTATACCTAAATAATTTTTGTATTGCTTTTGCCTTGTACATTTTCACACATACACAACCACACCCACAAAACTACATATAAACACACACATATATGTTAAGACTATGAGACGACGAAAATGAGAAAACACAAGATTTCATTAAATACGAAATTAATATTGTTTTAGGGCCCTTTTAGTTATTTAAGTTGACTACTTTTCAGGCTTAAGTCAAATGCAAAGCCGGGCGGCGCTACCTTTTGTTATGTTGGACGCCACTTTGCAATACATTTATTTATAATTTACATAATATATACTATATATACATATGATATGGAAAAACAAAAACAAAAACAAGCATATATAGTATAATAACCGTAATCAAAAGTTAAAAGTCTGCGGCATAGTGAACGTTTTTTAGAGGCCTGGCAAGTGAATTAGATTCTTAGTTAGTTAGTCTGTACTGTACTTGTTTTTTTAGTTTTCCATCTCCGAGACGCCTTGTCCGTTTGTCTGCAATCTGAGTGTATCTCGTAGAACTTGCTGCATAAGCTTTAAACCTAAGCAGGTTGTAAATATGTCGGAGCCGCTGTCCTTTCGTAACTCTTAATTTTTTCCCTACCTTAAATCAAGTAATGCTCTATAATTTTCGATGCTTTAGCATATGAGTGTGCATAAACTGAGGAACAATTTTGTGGTTACTTGGTTCAATAAGCTGAAAGAAAAACTAAACTAAGTGCGTGCGCAAAGAAAACAATTCCAAAATTCTTAACTTTATATAATTTATACACTTGATGATACATGAGAAAGTGTTTGAACATGAATTGAGAGCTGAGCAAAATTAATGTGGCAAATGGTGTCATATGTGGGAGTGGTTCGACCTGTGGGCGAACTCATGACAACATATGTAATTAACAATAAAGAAAATAAAATGAATTTAAACTAAGAATTTGATTTTAAAAGCCTGAACGTTGCTTGGGGTGTTTGTCTTGGCTTAAACTTAGAAAAAGCTGCATGATATGACATGCATAGAGAAATAGCTGGCGTCATCTGTAGTTAAAAACGCGCACTACTAACCCAAGCCAAGTTTCCAGGAATTTTATGATAGGTATTAAATGTCAAATTTAAATTTTTGTATTATATTTATTATATATATTTTTAAATATTATTTATAGTTAGCACCGAAGATGGTCGTCGCGAATGTAGACGATGTCCTGAATGAGATTGGTAACTATTTGCTTCATTGGCTTTAACAGGCAGCAATTGCAGGACATGCAGCATTTACCCTCAGGTTTCGGTTGCATGCAAGCGCTGATGGTATTTACCTGCAGTCTGACTTGCGTTTTTCTTAGCAACGAAATCATGGGCGTGGGCCTGGTCGCCGTTGAGATAGCCTGTGAGTTTTCGCTGAGTAATAAGCAGCTCTCGTTGCTGTCTAGTGCCGCTTTTGCGGGCCTTATTCTGACATCACACTATTCGGGCTATTTGACGGATAAGATTGGACGGCGTAAAATAATGATATATTCCATGGTCTTGGCCATGGCATCATCGATCATTTCAATATTAATGCCAAGTTTCTACTTTTTTCTATTTTGGAGATTTATGACGGGCCTATTGTGGGTACGGCTAAGTTTTTCAGCTGGCCTTTACTCTACCGATAGCTACTCTTCCCCACAGAATCTCTGGTGTCAGCGTCAACAATATAACATATGTATCGGAATTTACCAAAGTCAAATTGCAGTCTGTTGTTGTCAACATTATGTGTTTCGCTTTTGCTTTCGGTGCCATTTATGTGCCAGGTGAGTAGCATTTCTCCAGACTCGACTCTCCCGCATTGACTTGTTCGGTCTGCAGTTGTGGCCCATTTTCTGAGCCCGCTCAGTCGCATACTTTTTAGCTGGGGTAACTTTCATCTGCGTGCTTGGCGTCTGAATATGCTGCTGAATTCAACTCCTGGATTTATAGCGATTATCCTCATGTGGATTCTACCCGAGACAGCGAAATTTTTACTATCCGTAGGGAAAGAGGATCGCGCCTACGAGACTCTCAATCGCCTTTGTTTAAAGAATCGAGGAAAGGATTTGCAAAGCCTGGGCATTACCGGCGTGTTTCAAGCAGATTTGCCCGAAAGCTCAGCAAAAAAACGAAATTTCTTCGAAAGTTTATGGTACGATACGGTGCCATTATTTAAGCCGCCCTATTTGCGCAACTTTCTGATCTGTACCGTCATTCTGTCCGGCTATTTCTTTGTGTGAGTTTGTGCGGGATGACCCTTGGCCAATAGCTACCACATTCTCTCTCCATCAGGGGCAATGGGATCGCGCTATGGTTCATGAAGCTACGTCAAATCATGTCTGATTCTAATATGATTGCCTGCGACATGATAAAGTATACGAAAACCACGCATTCCTCCTCGATGTGCTCACAAAAGACATCCAACTTTATCGACGGCATAGTCCTGGGTTGCGTCTTCCTTGCTTGTTGCATTTTAATAAGCCTTCTGCTGATTTGCGTGCGCAACTCTTACATTCAGTTATTGTATGCAATAGTCGCAACAATATGTGGATTTAGCCTAAATTTTCTGAAGCTTCAGCTGCCCATCCTAATCGCGATGGTGCTGTTCAGTTCGCTGCTAGCCAGCAGCATTCCACTGATCTCATCGGTTTTATGCGCTGTGGTGCCCACGCATTTGAGGTAAGCTAATTTTGCTTAATACACTTGTCAGACTTATATATATTTATATGGGCTTATATATTTTCAGGGGCATGGCTATCAATATGAGCTACTTGTTCGCGCGCTTATCGGTCGTTATTGCCAGCGCTATAATTGGCAGCTGCATGGTCCCTTACTGTTTGGTAACCTTCAATATCTTTGTGCTATTTACATTGGGTAAGTGCTGCACTCGGGTCGTATACGTAATATGCACATAATTTCCCTAATATTTACAGCGGTGGCGATTTTCACGTGCTTCCTGCCGAAGATATGAAGAAGGGTCAAGGAGAGCGTGACTGACAAAATCTCATTCCACTGAAACTTAGCATGGTGCTTGTCTCTGGTAAGTCGCATTAGAAGCTGATTGCTATAGCATGCAGCAGTTAATGCTTGGACATATTGTGTACGTAATATGCACATAATTTCCTTTCTATATATAGTGCTGGTCATTTTTACGTTGTTCCTGCCAAAATGCTTATGGACGGCCAATGAGTGCCACTTAAACTTATCATGGTACTTGTCTCTGGTAAGTCGCATTAAAAGCTGATTGCTATAGAGTAAAGCAGTTAACGCTTGGACATATTGTATACTTAATATACACAAAATTTCCTATCTATTTACAGTACTGGTGATTTTTATGTGGTTCTTGCAAAATTATTAAGGACGGCCAATGAGTGCGCCACTGAAACTTAGCATGGTGCTTGTCTCTGGTAGGTCGCATTGAAAGGTAATTGCTATAGCATGAAGTAGTTAATGACTGTATTCGAATTTCGAACATGTGTCTAAGAATTATCAAATTGAACGTATTTTTGATTGCAAATCTAGTTATTACAGATCTAGTTAATGCTTTCCCAAATAGTCAAATTACCAGAAATTGCATTAAGATTAACCCAATTACTAATTTCTACGTTTATAAAAAAAACACAGCGCTGTTCAAATAAATATTGTATGTTTATTGAAACTCAATTTGATATACATATTGTTGTGGTTGTCTTGGGTTTTGCTACATTTAATTATAATATATGTATATATATCCGTATATATGTACGTTCATATTGTTCACATCTGTCTATATATATTGTATTTAATAGTTTAATGCAAGTAATTACTAATGTTTAACAAATTGTTAAATATAGGTTTTCCTTTTTCTATAATCGTAAGCCATGCTACACACACTCTGCACTTTTAAAGCGCTGTCCTTAATCCTTGCTAATCCTTGTCCTCAACGCTACACGTTGATATGGTGTTATTTTTACAGTGTTTTTCTTTTCAGAGTACTTTCAATTACAATTAACAACATGTAATAGGTATAATAGGTTTAATAATTAAAGTACAGATCGTACAAAGTTGATCAAATAGACTTAAGTTTCAGTTACAGCAATAGTTAGTATTAAGATACTTAAGTTTAGCTGAAAATATCTTAAGGCTTTTACAGCCATTATAGAAAATAGATTTTCAACAATGATTACAATAGATTTCTCAAAGCACAACCAATTTTTAGTTTTCCTTTCGTTTCGTTTCATTTCGTTTCGATTCATTTCATTTCGTTTTGACGCTCTTTCGTCTTACAACACTATTTTTCTCGAGCTAAGGTCAACAGCCAAAATGTAAAGAGTATTTAATATTTATTTAAACTGAAATGTTTTTTTATTTCCGATACCACTCGAAGGTTTTACCCTGGCTACCTGGACAAATTACATATGTACGTATATATGCACATGTTACTTAAGCAGTTGTACAATGACAAAGAGATTATTTCTTAAACTTAGCAATTAGGGGGTTTCGAAAACAAAAACAATATATAACGAATTCTTAGGAGTAGTAGAGTATATAGAATTTTGATAGTTTTTTCTTTAGTACCACGTGAAATTGTTTGAAGTCCTTTTGCTAACTAACGGTAAAAAGTTGTCGCACTTGTAGAAATAGTCGAGTTTTTTTTTTGCAAGAGGCTTTCAGTTAGTAGAGAGTAAAAAGTTGAAGATTTTCATCAAAGCTTAAATGTACTCTAGTTTTGTATTGATAATATGACACCAGTTTATGCTAGTTATTAAATATTTTTTAGATAATTTTTTCTTTTCGTTTTTTATATAATGTTTGCCAAGTTTGAAACTCCAAGTCGATAAGTTGAACGTTGGTTTTGTTTGCAAGCCCACTAAAAAAAGAAGTGTTTTTTTTTGTTCAATCTTTTTGTTTCCTAGTATTTCATTACAAGAGATTGTCCTGTCGAAAGTCGAATGTGAAGCTGCAAGTTCTGGGAAGATACAAATGGGGGCTACCAAGCGGGGCACGAAGGAAGTTGAGGATTTCGTTTAAGCAAATTGCTTTAAATGTTGTGTTGCGCCTACCACACTGACTACCGAAAAAATGACTACAGTAAATTCGTCTTAATCACGCTTTACTCGCTCACGCACACACACACTCACGCTCACGCACACACATACACAAGAAGATTGTCATATTAATTTAGTTGTATATGTTTTTTTTTCCACTTGATATCGTTTGAGTGTTTTTTTCTTTTATATTTTATACACTGAGAAAGTTTAGTGTTTAGTTTTGCATTTGATTCGTGTGGCCTGCAGTTTGAAACCTTCACGGGTTTACTCAGCTCTGACTTTGAAAAGTGATTAACATTTAGCAAACATTTAGTTGAATATATTTGTTAATAAAGGTTAGTGTACTTTAGGTTTCCTGTAGCGTATGCTTTCGATTTACTTGCCTTTTCGTTGCCTTGCATTTTACGACTTTATTGTTGATTTTCAATTTGTTTTATTGGATTTTTGCCTTTGCCTGCGCGTGGCACAAACACAACATGCATTAAACACTCACAAACACAACAACAACAAGCAAAAATATATATATATCATTCATTTTTTGTTTTGTTTTCTTTTGTTTTGATTTCTTGTATAATATGTATTTCTATATGTCTGTCTGTTCGATCTGGTACTCTGATTTCTCAATTATTGTGCCTGCAATTGTTTGCCGTAGTGTTGCCTTACTGTACCTACAAAGCTCTCTCACCAAAAACGCTGTCAAGCTCATTTAACTACTAAAACTATTTTGGGGACATACATAGATATATATAAATGTATATATGTGGGAATTGTTGGGGATTGGCTTGGGATTATAACTTCGATTAAACAACAAATGTTCGGATGGCCCAGCTTAAGTACTAACAAATTGAGCGTTTACTTTAAGCAATAGCATATCATTAAATATTGGTGTTATGCATTTCAATTTTATTGTTTCGGTTGTCGCGCGCGCTCCCGTGTTCGGTCAAGGGGAATTATCCGAATCCGAGCCGCCGTAGCTGTGCATGGGGAACAGCGGGTACCAGCCGCTGATGTGCTGTCCAATGTTCACTTTGTCCAGATTCACCTCCGTGCCGCCCAGGCCCTGATTGTGCTCGAAGCCCACACATCGTTGCCACACCATTATGACAATGTTCCGGCCAAAGACATCCGCACTCTGTGCGTTGAGTGTGTGCGTGTGTGTGTGTGTGGGTGTGCGTGTGTGGGTGTGCGTGTTAAAAAGTAAAGATTATTTGCATACAAATTGCATTAATGTCACTCTGTGTAATTACTGGGAAATATACATATAAATAAATATGCAGAAGAAGCAGGCCAGTGCTTACATGCTTCTTATACACTCTTCATAAAGTGAAAAGAGTATATTAGTTTTCTCTACTGTCCGTTTACAAGTCTGTCCGTCTGCTCGTTTAAATGCCAGCAGACAGTTTTAAAAATTAATTAATTGAACTTATATTCCATTCTTAGAACAAGAGTCGGACAAATTGGGCAGGTATCTACTCTAGCTCCTGGCTCACTTCCTTTAAAGGTCACCTCATAATTATTGCGGCGACATTTCCTCAAGCTTTTGTTTACAGTCATGAAGTGAAAAGCCTGTTGCAGCTGCCGAGGCAAGAAGTCTCTTTTTCAACTAACTCAACCTTTAGTTCAACTGTGAACAGAGTATTGCTTAGTCGCTGGCACCCGACCGCATTCTGCCGACCTATTTTCATTGTGTTCGCGAGCTGGAGACACACGCACTGCGCAGTCTGCTGCAATTTGGCCGCCATTAATCGCATTAAAATGCGACCAACAACAACTGCAACAACATTGAGCTGACGGCCAGCGGTGCTTATCGCCATTTGTGGCATCATCGGCGAGTTTTGCCCCTTTATTGATGGCCCATTTGCTCACCTGGTATTTGATGGTCTGCTTGTAGATTGGCTCTGCGGCATGCCGCACCACGCGCGTCTTCTTCTTGTGCCGCAAACGTTCGCCATCTTTGATGTAGCATTTGACGTAGGTGTCCGGCGGCGTCTCGCAGTCCGCGTTGACAATGTTTCGTGCACAAATCAGCTGCAATAATGTAAAAGGCCATTGATTAGTTGATGTTACATTTATTCTCGTAGGTAGATATTTGCCAGTTCTTTAATAAAGGGCAACAGTTTTCTGGAGGTTCTCTTACCTCCACCTCGACGTTGCCTTTAATTTTCACAAATCCCATTTTGAGCTCGCCATAACGCGCCGTGGTCAGGCGATAGCCCTTGGGATGTATCTGGGAGGGGCCCAACTTGAGGCCATAGCTGGACTCGCTGCCAGTGATGGCCGCGACGTTGACATAGCTGCCGCTGAGGGTTTTCACCACGCTCTGCTTCCTCTGTGGGCTGTCGCCGCTGTCCGTGCTGGTGCGTTGATAGATGCTGCCCTTTCTCTGTGGACTGTCGCCGCTCTCCGTGCTGGTCCGCTGATAGATGCTGCCTTTGCGTGTGGGCGTGCCCATGGGGGGCGTATCGCTGGCGGAGGGCACATAGACGCTGCCCTTGCGCTGCAGCGAATGCGACTGCGACAGCGACTGCGATTGCGGGGCGTGCCCCTCGCCCAACTGAAACATGCTAGCCTTGCGCTGCTGCTGCAGCTGTCCGCCTGCGTTGAGTGTATCCTGTCCACGCAAATTGACCATGCTGCCCTTGCGCAGCGTCTGCTGCTGGCTGCTGTCTCCCAGGCCGCTGCCCAACAGCTGGCTCTGCTTTTCCTGTGCCACATTCGAGACGGAGGCGGCTTGCTTTAGCCTGGACAATGCCTGCTTGGCGCTCTGCGGTGGCAGCTGTGTGCCCGAGCCCTTCCAGCGTGGACGATAGCGCTTGTCCTCATCATCGGACGGTGGACTGGTCTCCGTTGTGCCAATGCCAATCGGCAGATGTTGCTGTTGTTGCAGCTGCAGGTTTTGCAGTTGCAGTTGTTGCAGTTGCTGCTGCTGTTGCTGCTGCGACAGATCCAGTATGGAGCTTTTGCGACTGTTGGGACCACTCGGCAGGCCGGCACGGCTGGCACCTGCAGCAGCAAGGGATGCGGCAAACACAAATTAAATTAAATTAATACAACTCGGCATTGTCATGGACTGCAGGTGGCTCAACTGAATGAAACTCCAACTCCAACTCAATGTATTCAAGGTTTACTGGGCGAAATATGAAGAGAGAGTTGCATGGTCTAAGACCAAGTCTAAGCTCTAGGGGAAGAGAAATGCTTTTAGCTATACAAAACAAACATGCAGAACAACAGCTAAGAAATGTCACAGTGCGTATGCGTGTTATTTTAATGTACATATACATATATGCATGTGTAAAATTTGTGTGTGTTTATTATTGTAATTGAAATTGGTTTATATTTTCATATTAAGTAGCTGTGCGGGCGATGTTATTGGAAATCTTTATGTTCTTTACTTTTATCTTTAAATGAATTACATTTTTTGCTTGAGTGTTTTGTCGACTATTCAACAATACAAAATATGTATATCTTTGAATCCTAAGATCTCGGCTAGTCTGCTTATTTAACAAAATGTAATTTTTTTTATATTTATTCCAGTGCACTACAATATTTATTTTCTCTATTTTACTTGTTACGTAGTTAAAACTCAAATCCTCTTGCATAAACCAATGTATATAAATTAAACTGTATTTGTCATCTAGTCTCCAGAATGTGGTTTATTGCCGATTATTCCAATTCAAAACATCTGCACTTTTTAATAAAACATTAAGACAGATATTAAGCTGTATTCTCAACTATTTGGCATTTGTCCCACAAAAACTTGAATTCTCCCAAATTTTGATAACATTTTCTTAGGCTACCGAATTTTAAAGGGATTTTCAAAATCGTTCTCAAGTGAAATATGGCTAATGTGGACATTGACGATGTGTTCAATACACTTGGTAAGCGTGTGCAGAATTTCGATCTGCGGCTGCAATTGCTCAGCTCTGTGTTCCGCGGCATTTACAGGCTTTGGCCGCATGCAAATGATTATATTTTTTGGCTGTGCAATGCAACAGTTTTATGTGACCAACGAGCAGTTCGGCATCTCGCTGATAACTGTGGCAGCCAGGTGTGAACTTGGCATCGGTAACCATCACTTGTCCTGGCTGATGACCGCGGGGCTGATGGCGCAAGTCTGCACCAGCCACTATATGGGCTACAAGTCGGATGAGATCGGTCGCCGCAAGCTGCTGCTCATCACCTCCACGCTGACCATATTCACCTCGTTTATATCGTCGCTGATGCCAGAGTTCTGGTCGTATCTTGTGATGCGTTTCATCAACGGCTGCGTGTAAGTCTGGTGAATGTTTGCTAATATTTCATGCATTTGTTCTCGGCAGTCTAACAGGTCCTGGCATGGCGGTGATCACGTACATGGGCGAGTTCACCAAGATCAAGCTGCGGCCCATGGTGCTCAATTTTCTGTGCTATTCCATTGGCATCAGCATGCTGTATGTGCCAGGTAAGTGCTCTGCATGTATCGAGACAGATGCCCACTGTTCCGCCTCTACACACAGCTTCTGCGTTGGTGATATTGCCGCAAAATATACACCTTAAGATATCCGGCGACTATGCGATTAGCGGCTGGCGTGTGCTCAGTATGACCAATCTGCTGCCTGGCATCCTTTCTGTGCTTATTCTCTTGCCCATGCCTGAAAGTCCCAAGTACTATCTGTCCGTCCAGAAAACGCAAGAGGCGCTCGACGTCCTGGAGATGTGCTGTCGGTACAACAAGGGCAAGAATGTAACGCTTAAAAGTCTGGGCATCGAGTCTGTGACGCAGTCAAATCTACGCCGTGATTCCCTGCTACCTGATAAAAAGTGAGTAGCGATAATACTAACAAGCAGCTGTGCACCTTCTGCTCAAACTAACTATTCCACAGCTTTTTCCGACGTGTCTGGAACGATACGAAGCCCCTGCTGCAAGGCAACAATGCCCGCTACATGCTGCTCGTTATTGGAATTATGTTTTTTATGTTTGCCACGTGAGTATCTGGTTTAATTGTCCTCGAAGAGGATATTTCGCACATAATATATATCTTTTCTTCGATCAGAATTAGCTGACCTTTTTGCGGGTTAAATATCTACCCTGAGTCCACTTGAAAATGGGATATATCGATTTCGTGTAAATGTATGTTGCATACAGACGTTATTATATATATATTTATTGAAAGCTCCTGACACTGGGTCTATTGTAGCTTCACGGGGTTGCCGTGCTATTCATAGTGGGTGGTTATTTGGATGCAATAGCTGTTACCCAGTAGATGGTCACTTAAATCAAGCTAGGAATATAATATTCTTGATCAGTACCACAAGCTGAGTTGAGTTAGCTATGTTCGTCTGTCTGCTCCTTTGCTTAGTTATTGTATTTCCCGCGTCAATCTCGGGAAATACAATAACTAGGGAGAATGGATATAATCTCTCATACCATAAGCAGCATGAGTCGATCTATTTACGGAATCTCGCACCATTTCCATAAAATCATAACGACATAGTCGATTCTAAGAGAAGAAAGTTGGAATGTTTGTAATGGCTGCTTGCCCCTGGGTTCAGGGTATCTACTAGTTGAGCATTCTCATATATATATATATATCTATGTATTTATTATGCATCTAAATAAATATACGTGTTTATAGCGGTGCTGTGCTGACGGTTTGGATGCCGCGCGTCATCAAAATGACGGAGGAAAGCGAAGAAAGTATGATACTCTGTGATGTGTTAAAAGCATCTGGCGCTCGGAATACCAGTACGGTCATTTCCAAGGTTCGTTGTTTCATCAATGCGCTAGACCAGAACTTAAAATAGCCAATTTCTAGTGCCATTTGGCTACATCTAATCTGCTCGCTTGCATTTATCATGGTGGCGCCTGTTTGGCGGGATTCATGCTAATCAGTGTCTTGTTAATTTGTCTTAACCGTAAGCCAATTCTGGTGGGCTTCTCGGTCCTTTCCACTTTGTCAGGTTTCATGCTCAACCTTGTCATCCGCGATGAGCTGGTCATTGCGGCATTTGTCCTGCTCGTTGTGCCAACTTTGTGTAGTATGCGACTGACGTTGACTGTGATCATCGATGTGGTAGCCACGCATTTGAGGTGAGAGTCTGTCGCCTATTATCAAACAGATTTCCACCATTTTTTTTCCCTGCAGAAGCAAAGCTGTGGCCCTGGCGATGATGTTTGGTCGCTTTGGCGTTCTGGTGGGCAGTATATTTGTGGGCTATACTCTGAATTGCTGCTGCTTGGTAACATTCAATGTGTACGTGGCGGGCATGGCAAGTAAGTGGCCGATGCATATGGTGCGTATGCTTGATATTGTAAAGCTCCTTTTTATGCAGTTACCATTTTGCTCATCTTTTTCCTACCGGAGAACTAAGAACTAAGTCGCACAGGCTTTGCTTATTTGGATTGTACTTGTTTGGTTATTTCTATAAATTTACAAAATATTCAACTTTTCTTTTTCTCAATATGACCACGGTGGATGTGGATGATGTCTGGCAGTCCGGCAATTGCCAAAACGGAGAGGATGAGCGTGCTTATGATACGTTTAATCATCTATGTTTGAGAATTTGTGGTCGGAATTTAGCCAGCCTGGGTGTGACGCTTATTACTCCTGGACCTCCGCGCCTCAGTTTGATGCAACCTGCTAAATTTTTCAGATGCTTTTGGAATGATATGGTTACATTGCTAAGAAGACTATATTTTAAGAATTTTCTGCTCGTCAGCGTCGTGATTTCAGGATTCTTCTTTGTGTGAGCTGCTGTGGCATTACTTTTGGGCATTATATATCGCCATATATATGCTCTGTAAACTAGGCCGATCGGATTTTCTGCGATATGATCTATAGCAGCGCATTATGGGATAGTACGCATAAAAGTTGGGTTTTCTCAGACCTGCCACTCGATTACTGGGGTGGCGCCTTTTTGTTAGCCTCCTTTTCTATTAGCCTAATTCTGTTTTAACACATCGAATTTTAGTTCCATTTTGCAATGCATCAGTGGCGACACTGCATCTTAGCAATGTGTTTCAGTAGTTTTGCATTGACTACTTCCGTTATAATTGAGGTGGTGTCCACGCGTATGAGGTAAGCATCCAACAGTGCGTATGGGTAATAAGGAATATCTGGCTTGCTAATCAAGTTAATTGTTTTTACTTTTTATGTTTCAGAGGCAAAGCCATCACCTTATGTTGGGTCGCACGACTGTTATCATAGCCTCTCACCAAATTGGGAATTTCATGTGGACTGACTGCTTGATATTATTCAATTTTTTTTGTACTTTTTGTTGGCGGTAAATTGCACTGGGTGCGTATACTTAATTTGCTCTTGACAAAATATCTTGGCTTTGTGATTGCAGCGGTCGCCGTTGTCATATTGTTTTTACCAACTAAGGGTTATGCACATGAGTGATTTATATATTTTTAATACCACGGCGGGGCCTGTGACGTGATATGCATATTTATATAATAGTTGTCGAGAGCGTCAAGCTTCATTATCAGCTGATTCAAACAGTCAATCAATCATTCAATCAATTGAGCGCACAATACAGAATGTGGCCAAAGGGTTTATGGCAAGAGTTCAAAGATTTTTTTTGCCAATGCCCTTTTAAGTAAAAATAAAATATATGTCAAACTTTTCTCAGAGCTGTGTGTGTGTGTATTATGCGAAGCAAAATAAATTTCAGTGGAACGCAGCGAAGAGTGAGGCGAAACACATTGAAAAGCAGGGCCAAAACTGAAAAGGCCAAACTGCCGCAGCATCTAAGGATAGATTCGCATCGGCGATTTTTAAGTGTTGAGTAACACGTCTTTTTTCATTACGTAACAAATTCGTTTCTACACTAATTTTCTTGACTCTTGGAATTTCCATGTATTTTATTTATTATTTTAGAATGAAATTCACTTCTTAGGCTTTCGTATATTTTATTTTGCTTTCAAACAAAATATTCCATTTTCTTTAGTTTCTTTCAGCAGGTTTCCTTGCCGTGTTTTTCTTTCGTGACATCAACACGCAAACATTTGCCATAGCTCCCATTTTTGTGGGTAGTTGAAATTAGAGTCAGAGTTGGGGCCGCGGCTGATTTCCATATTTAACGGCTTGTTTGTGGCTCATCAAGAGGACGTCCCATTTGGCTGTTGTTTTCCCTTTTTCTTTAATATTTGCTTAACTTTGTGTGCTTCTTCGTCTACTTGATTTTTCTTTTGCTTGTGCCTTATGCGGCTTTTCATATTTTGCGTGTCGCTTGCTTTTAAAAGTTAATTTCAAGGCTGAGCTATTTTTCGGTTCTGCGGAAGGGTTCATGGCAGGCGTCAAGGAGTTGTCAGCCAACAGGTAATAGGGCGTGGCAGCTCGCTGGCTGGGCGTGAGTGTGAATGTGTGTGTGGGTGTGTGTGTATGGCTTTGCATTTTAAATAAAATTTGCTGAGGCTGCTTTGTTGCTTGGCGCAAATAACAGCAATAAGCTGAATTAAGCTCAACCAAATGATGGCATCAAAAGTTTTCCCGAGTCCTGGGACTTGACTTATCCGCTATTTTTTGTGCACGCGCAACCCAGGTCTTTCATGTGCTTGTATGTGAAGGTTTGGTTGTGTTTGTGTGTGTGGGTGTGGGCATTAATAATATACCAGAAGCTGTACAGGGTGAGTGGCAAGCGGAGTTCTTAAGCTCAGGCAGCGTGCACAGGTAAATTGTGTGTGTCGCAGTGTGTGTTAATTAAGTGGCATGCAGCTAGAATTTTGTACTAACAATTCTTTAAAGGCCTTAAGAGATTGAAATAAGCCAAAGTGAAGCACTAGTCGGGCAGAACTGAAACACAAAACTTAAACTGAAAACGAAAATTCATTTTGCATTCTTACCAGTGGGTGAGTTCGTGGTTTTTGTGTGTTTAAATACTTTTGCTTTGCATTGCTGTTGTTGTTTGTATTGTTTTATAAATGTTAACATATATTTTGTTTCTTTTGCAATAACATAAACTATTATGCTGCCAAGCTCAATTTGCAGTGTGGTTTTTGCAATGTGTCTCGTATAATTTACAAAAAAAGATTTTTGAGATTTTTGGTGTTTTTACTTAGTTGCTTTCGATTACTTAGTTGCTGTTGTGGTTTCTGGCTTAGTTATTTAATTTAATTATTGCCGTGCAAAGAGTGGTTTTTAAATTGAATATCAGAATTTGTGTAGTTTAGAGCTTTTGATTAGGTTTGGAACCGAGGTTTAGGTGTCGGGTGCTGAGAGAGTTCTTTAATAATTTGCTTGCATTATTTATAATCATTGGAAGTTAACGGGATTTATTGTTTATTGCTTAGTTAATTGAATATTGTGTGATATGGTTTATCATTTAGTGTTTGTCCAGTTAGTGTAGGGTGTGTCAAAGCTTTGATAATGCGACACCGATATTGTGGCTAATAGTGAGAAAGATATGGGAAAGCAAAGAAATTAGATAGACAGTTGTAAATAGAGGCCAATGCAATATATATGTTATGTATATATAGTTAGTATATAGTTGCTAGACTGAGGCAGAAAGTAGTACCAGACACACAGCAAGCCAGGTTCAGTGAGTGTGAAAAGAGAGAAAGAGGGGGGGGGTGGTAGAAAGACAGTGGTGGGGTATCATGACAGCTCAGAGAGAGTTTGTTTAGTTGGGAGCACACTTTGGAGAAAGGTCTCCTTTATCTTTATGAAATCATAACAGCTGCATCCCGAACCCAGCTGAAAGGTAAATAATTAACCTAAGCTACTTGGTATCGATACTTACGTCGCGAACCCATGCGCTTGTTCTGCTCGGTGCCCAGGCTCATTGTGCGTCCCAGCTCGCCGCGTACAGCTTTTAAGGACTTCAAGATCTCATCCGGATCGCGTCGTGCAACTGAGGAGCGACGCCGGCCCACAAGATATGATGTGGGTGGCGTGGCCATGGCATCCTCCTCCAGCCGATTCTTTTCGGCATCCTGAAAACTTGAACGACGCGAGCCCGGCAATGAGCGCGAGAAGTCCTTACCCAACTGATATACCTCGACTTCCAATGTCTCTGATTGCGATGAGCCGCGTCGCGAGCCCGCTATCCAAGCATGATCCGGATGTAGCAATGATGCACCGTCCCCTATCGAATCAACATCATCCGATATGGAGCGCTGCATATTGTAATCCCGACGCAGCAAACGTGCCATATCGCCACAATGGCCAGCACCCGCAGCAATGGAGCCTCGTGGCGAGACGCTTGGCGACTTGCTGATGCTAATGCCACGCAGCCCCTTTGGGTCCTCCAGACGACACCAGATGGCCTGGTCATCGAGAAATGCCTGCTGCAGCTCAATGTTGCATTCGCCCAGAAATATGGACTCTGTATGCGGCACCAGATCCCACAATTGTATGTCTATATAGCGATCCATCAAGCTGTCGGCCTTCACATGGGCAAAGGTCAAGGTTGCATTCCAAATGGGATTCTGAGTGGGCCGACTGACCTCCGTTTGCTGCACGCTGCCGTCGCCGCTGCAGTAGCAAGAGGATAATCGAGAGTTAATACATATATATTATACAGCATTAATAGAAAAGACACAAAGAAAATGCTGTAGAGAAAGGTTTGGGTATATTTGTAAATAAGTTAAGTAGTCACAATTAGAGATTATTGATGTTTGCTGCATAAGAGCTTTAACAGCTCGATAAAGAGGCTTTAATAGATGGGTTAAACATTTTAACGGTACACTTACCACTTGGGCAATATGCGAACTTTGGCATATGCTTCCGGCAGATTGCCATGCCCGTATGCCTCATCGCGTAATGCTAGATCATCGCCAGCCATTAGGGATACGACCAATTCGGTGCGTTCCGCATGATACCAAACCTGTATTTGGACACGGCCGCTGACCATTTTCTCCCGTGCAATTTGCTCCTGCGGTTGAGAGAAGTATTAGTACATAGATCCAATACGACAGAACAACAACTCGAAGCATGTAAAAAAGGCTGCGCTGTACAAGTTTTAGCTTAATATTTAGTTAGTGGATTATATTAGCCTAATGCCTACATATGTAACGCATTGAATCTTTACTCTTTAGTTTATTATTCAACTCGCATATTTACAGTTGCTTGATTGTGTTGCTGTAGTTGTTCTTGTTGTTGTTGTTGTGTACATAACTGAACAACAAATTAAAGCAATAAAAACATAAATAAAACTAATTAAACGGGTGAAAATAAAGGCAGAGGCACATACACATATGGAGAGAGCGAGCAAGGGCAGAGACACAGAGTGAAAGTAAAGGAAATGAAAAGCATGCGAAAATGCAGTGCATAGCCACAGGCGTTACACAGACACATGCACATAAACATACACATACCCATACAAAAAGGCATGCATAGTTACATGTAAATGATGCTTGAATAAGCGCACGTTATAGCACACACACACACACGCACAGACACAGAGATATATTTGTATTTACATTGACCACACGGAGAACCGCAAATGCCATCTGCTGTGGGCGCTGACTAGCGTTTTTTTATTTGTACTTCACCTCCTCCTCCCATTCCCCCTGTCGGCACATCCCACTCAAACGGAAGTCATTGCTGCGCAGTTGCGCATAAGAGTCATTGTTGCTGCTGCTGCTGATGTTGTTGTTGGCATAGTGTTGTGTTTATTATACTTGGGTGTGTTGAATATAGCGCAGCCTCATAAAATATTCATAGCGTGTATATGCGCACAGTAATAACAATAACAACAACAACAACAGCAACAGCAACAGCTGAAACGAATGTCGAACTGTCTGGCGTACAGAGAGCACTGCAATGGCAACGGAAGCCGCCATATTGCAATAACGTGTGTCAAAACGGAAATGGACCACACACACACACACACACATCCAAATGTATTTGAGGAACTGTTGCTCGGTGCGCGCGTGTCTGTGTGTGTGTGTAGCAACTCTTTATGGCAGTGCCAAAAAGTTTATTACATTACGAGACACATTTCTCGTCTGTTGGGTGGGAAGGGGGCCACACGAAATCGAATTCGTGCGGGGCGTTTATGAGGCAGAAGCGCGCACTTATCTAAAGGTAAACAGCACACACACACGCGCACACGAGCGCGCGCACATAAATACACATGCAGAGGGCCAGGATTATTGAAGTTGATCAAAATGGCTGGCTGGCAGGCAGCGATAAGTGCCCAAACACTTGAAAAACTTTGCAGCAGAAGGCTAACACAAGACAAGGGCAACGGAGGGGGCTGTTGCCTTTCAAAGGCAATGCCGATAATAATGACGACGGCGCTGCCTGAATTGTTGTTAAAAGTTTTCTAATTTTCGACATTTCAAACATTTTATGCCTGCCAGCTGTCAATTAAAGGCGACAGCACCTGTTGCTGACAGCCGCCAGGGCCCAAAACAAGGTCCCAGACCACCCACCCTACAACCAATGAGCGCTGTGGCAGGAGTCAACTGTTGCCTGCTCTTTGGGCGTAATGAAAAACTCGCACGCTAACTTGACACCTGCCCCAGACACACACACCCCCACACACACACTCACACACTCACACAGATACGCAGAGACAGTGTCTCAAAGTTGTGGCGCTTAAACCGCAGCTAGGCAAAGGCCTGTAGTTGCTTGCCCCCTGTTACCTGCCCTCTACTCCCCCGACTGCTTGTTTGTGCGTGTGGCAAAAGTAACTAAAATTGATAGTAAACTTTGCGTCTACGGTGCGTATGAATAATAAATGCAGTGCAGACAGTCACAACGGAAGACATTCAGCAGACACAAGACTAAGTTTACGAATATACGGTTAAATACGATGTTATATGAGTTTGAAGCGTGCAAGAGAATATACATTTATATAAATAAAAAATCACATATATATATAATTAGCTACTCATACTTTTGGGCGACTCAATCCCCTTGATATATATATATACACGCACACACATATATGTATAGTATTTATAGATAAGTCAATGTATTTTAAATTTCAATTCATTATGTCTAAGGGTCCGCTACATATATGCATATGTCAATGAAATTATTACATTCAATAAAAGAATCAATCAATCATAAAGTCAGACGCGAAACAGCATTGCTCATCAATCAATCAATCGCATTGATGACACTAATTTTTTCCTACTGCTTCCGCAGCTTGTTCTGCTCTGCTTTTTTTTTATTTTTATATTTTTGTTGATATTGTTTTTGTCATCGTTATTTAATATACTGCATATATTTTGTTGAGGCAAAAACCAAGTGATCTATTTAGTATTATTTTTGAGTTGCTGCATTTTGCTGCAGTTTTATTTTGGTTTAGATTATTTTTAATATTCATTGCCATAACTCGTGCCAGCTGGGGTTACAATTCTTGTACAGGTGGAAATGAAAATTTAGTTCATATACAATCGGTAGTAGGGTTTTGTTTATTAAATATATATATATGTTTAATATAAAGTTTTATAGTTAAATGCATTTGTATTAGTTGCAAGTTGTTTAAAGAAATGCTAATCGGTTTTAGATTAAAGAGCCACTAAATGCTAGTCAAACAAATTGTATTGGTAGGCTTTGCGGTACATGTTATGCAAATTAAGCAAAATGCAATCAAGTTAAAGAAATAGTTGGTAAAATTGAGAGACAAATGAAAAATATCAAAATTTATATGAAAATATTTAAAAAGATACCAAAACTGAAAGTTTTAAGTTGTTTTTGTATGTGTTCTTTGTTGTTCTTTGTAAATCTGCCAAGCGACCCTTCATAAAAGCAGCTAACACTAATACAGATCTTAAAGCTGTCCTCATTAAGCTAGTACATTACAATTAATGTTCCTTGTATACAAATAGATTACTTTTTTTTTGTATATACAAACAAAAAATAGATTAGATTGAATTGGAATAGTAGGTAGTATTTACTGCAAGGTGTGTGAATAGTAAGTTTATTACAAGGCTTCGCTTTGTTAAGACAACTAGAGAAAGTGTAAAACGTTATGCAACACTATGTACGAGTATAGTTTAGAGAGAGAGAGAGAGGTAGAAAGAGGGGGAATCATTGAAGAGTCAAGAAATATGCATAAACCGAAACGAAATGAAACGTTGGGTAAGGATAGGTAAACATTTGCTAAGCGAAACGTAAACAAAAGCTCACAAATTGACAGAGAAATGGAAAATTGTTCACAAGGACACAGCGCAGCGAAAAAACGGGGCGCGTACGTAACAGTAACAAAGAAAAATGTATTTTCATATATTTTTATATATATTAAAAAAACAAAGCAGAAGAAACAAAAGTTCAAAGGAAAACAAAAATAAAGAAAAGCGCACACATTTCTTTTTATATTTTTGTGGGCATTACAATATATAAGTACAACTTATAGAACCTATCTATATTACACTGGTTTTGGTATTATTGAAAGGATTTTTTGCTAGCGGGCTTTACTTTCGTTTTTTTTTTTTGGGAGTGCTAGAACTGTACAAGTTATTAAGATATATATAGTCGGTTTTATGTATATATTTTGTATGGGATGCTTCATTTACATGTTGGGTATTGATAGAGTTGTTTTGTTCATTTACCATTTGGCGGGCATCGAAATGGGGTGCGTTCGTGTCGAGGCTGGAATCTTGAAACTGGCTGCATACAAAAGTTATAAAACGAATTTCCAGGCATTTCATATTTGATATTCTTTTTTGCAGTTAATATAGAGAGACTTTATTTTTCACGTTTCTTTTACTTTTCAAATCATTAGCACATTGGTATGCGTTAAATTTTCAAAATAACTGGGTGTATATAGATATCGTATAGAATTGTAAAGTTATGTATACATGGGTATATATATATATATATATAGGTATAAAGATAAGCGACTGACTTTCATAAATGTGATTAAATTTCCTGCCAGCGGCTCCATTTATATAGCTCGTACTGGAGCTCTTCTGTTTTCACCCTTTTACTTTTAATTAAACATATACATACAAAAAAATGTCAATGCAACAACTTGCGCCAAAAATACAATTACAGTCATCAGTTTTCATGTTTCTCATATAATCATTTTATAGAGTTCTCATTTTGGATTGTACGTAGGTCAATAGCTGGGGGGAAGTAGTACATAGTTATACATATGAGTACGTATGTACATATATATATATATGTGTGTAATTCAACAAGTTGTATAAGGACTATCAATACATAGGTACAAGTACAGTTATAAGTATGTGTGTGTGTGTGTGTGTGTGTGTGTGTGTGTGTGTGTGTGTGTGTGTGTGTGTGTGTGTGTGTGTGTGTGTGTGTGTGTGTGTGTGTGTGTGTGTGTGTGTGTGTGTGTGTGTGTGTGTGTGTGTGTGTGTGTGTGTGTGTGTGTGTGTGTGTGTGTGTGTGTGTGTGTGTGTGTGTGTGTGTGTGTGTGTAGAGGCTCTACAACGTGTACTTTACAAAACCAAAGTTCAATTTTATCACCCATCTGACAGGAGTTACACAGCTAAGCAGCAGCTTTAGTTAATGGTATTTTAGTAAGAGTCTAAAACGTAGTTTTATTATTTTTTCTGTTTCTTTCAAGAAATGATTTATATTTCATTTAGCACTTTGTTATTGTGGGTTCATCATATAAGTAATTATCAGTAGGTGGGCTCCACGATCTATTGAATATATATAATCGCGCTTTCTCTAAAATATTATTTATGTTAAACATTTACAAACACAGCACTAACAATGACATTACACACAAATACAAATGTGTATAGGTGTTGATATAGGCGTATGCACTATATGTATATGTATGCAAAATACATATACATCAATTACTTATGATTGGGTCCAAAAATGCGTAAAACTGTCGTATATGCATATGTACCATTTAAGGAAGTTGGGTTCAATTTTGCTTCATTTTTTTTGTTTCGGTTAAAAAACATTTAAACATTTCAACAACAAGCTACTTATTTGTTTTGGGTTTTGGATTGTTTTTTTTTTTTGTTTTCTTCCAACTTTTTGCACATTTTCTTTGCTACTTATATAAAGTTAATAACATTTAAAACACACATAAATATATAGTTAAACTCTGCTACAATTTGCACTATTAACGTTTATAAAGTTTTTGTGTTTGTTTTGTTTCTATATAAATAGTATTTAATAACTGTTCACTGCGTTTTGGCCAACTATTCTCATTTAGCTTGGCCCAAAACCCAGCTCAGCTGTTTTTATAGTAATTCTTAGTAGTTGTTCATTTATTGTATCGATTTGTAGAGCCTAATTTAATGGTACTACACAAGCTGCGTATATAGGAAAATCTTTAAAAATTCGTCACTGTCTTCGGCTGCAGACAATTACTCAGAGTAGAGACGACTAACAATTATGTAAAACTTTATGTTCAGCTTATAAATCTATTGTTGGTGCTTTGTTCTTACTGTGTTTTACAGGCAATTCGATTGCCCAAGAGAAGGTTCAACTAACACAAAATATATGTCGAGTAATGGATACTATAAGGTGCTATATAACGCATATCGAAATCGTTAGTATAGTATTAGTATTGAGCATTCGTAGCTAAGCTAATTCCTTTGTTTAGTTTATAGTAACCTTAAACGTAGTCACTTCTATTTCTAGTTAAGTAGTTGACATATACTATATTATATACGTTGTTTTTGTATTTGGTTTTTGTTTTTAGTTCACTAACAATTATTTCTACCAACACCGAAAAATAAATATAATATAATTATTGTGATTATATGACAAAATAGCAAAGAACACATTTAGCCATAGCCATTTGTTTATGGTTAGTTAGTGGTAGTAAGTTATATTAAGAATCAACCGAAACGAAAAACACATAGAAATCAAATCAGAATATAATCATATATTTTTAACTAATATTAGCTACTACAAATACAAATCTCGTATTTGAAACATAATCAAAAATATCGATAAATCATAAAAACCGTTTGTAAAGTGGATTGAAATAGGGGTGAGTTTTTTTTATAGCACTGAAGCTGCACTGAAATATGCCAAATGATTTCATATACTGTGAGCACTTTGAGGAAAAGCTGAAAGTTCGTGTGGAGAAAACTGCGTATGCTTAAGCTGCATATTGTTTTTATAGCTAATTATTGCATTATAGCCCATTGTGTATTATAAGTTTAGTATATAAAGGTATTTTCCTTTTTATATTTGTATGTTCACTGCCAGAGTTCATGTTCTCTTTTATCTCAAATCGCAAATCGCATATCGCAAATTTCAAATTGAAATAAATATTACGAAATTGTTTTTATACCGGAGTTTTTGGTAATTTCCGTCTAGTTGGCGATGCTGGTGATTTGTCTGTGTTGATTTCGGGGTCTGTTTTTTTTACAATTATTTGTTTGAAAAAGAAGTAACAAGAAAGGAGAACAACAAATGAAAATTATGTAAATGTTTGTTTTCAGGGTACATCAATAAATTATTTATGCACATGTATATATATACAAAACTGATTACAAAAGTGTTGGACTGTGGGACTAGCTACATGAATGAGCGTCTGAAACTTACCCGCTATAAGTCCCAGTCCTACAGGACCATCGCCGGAGCGCCTTGGTCCACTCTGGCCGCCACTATTGCCGGGCGGCAGATTCTCATCGAACAGATCGCACATGCGAAAATCTGTGGCATGTTCCACCAGCAGCTCGACAATGTCACCTGTGCGATCCATAATGGAGCAGACCTCCTCAAAGCTGCGATCGATTAGCGACATGCCGTTCCACTCGAGTATCTGTTAAGTTAAAAACAAAATCATCCTTTTAGCTATCATTTGTCAGCAAAAAATGTTTGCCTTAAGTAAAATTGCTGACAGGCAGTTACATATATATTTTTACAAGCTCGTGCCCCACTGTTACCCTCAAATGCCGCTTGGTCTGTAAATTGGGCTGCGTCGCAAAAAAAAACATGAAACTTTATTTGCTGCAGTTATTTTCTATTTTTATCTTTTATTTATTGTGTTAGTTAGGAGTTCTTATAGTCGCCGGTAAGTTCGCCAGTTTGAGTTCACTAAAGAGAACGGACAGCGAACACACACACATACAGTCGCAAAGTAGCGGACCAAACGGAGCATACTCAGCTACACAAAACGGAGTCTCTGGAGATTTAACAGCGACGCTCAGCGAGCCGCCGACTTCTAACAGCAATTGAGTAACACGCGCAGGCTTAGCAGCAACAGCGACACCGACAAAGAGACGCGCTCTATAGGCTTGCGTCGCAGACTTAACAGAGCGTCGACGTCGACGTCGTGAGAGAAAAGGAGTATGCAGTGCTATGTTAGCAGCAGCGCTGGTTACTGCGCAGTGTGGTCGGGTCGCTTGGAGAGTGCAGACGTGGATGGTCAACTAAGTGCAATGACGATCGACGCATGTGAAATAAGTGGGTGAGTTGCTAATCACATATTTTCTAGAGCAATTATTTTGATTGTTGTATTTTGGTTTTGTCTTGCTGTCCGTCTGTCAGTACACATGAACTTAATTGATCGCAGCTTTATATTCATGGACTTGATATATATATTCTTTTGTGAAGATTCAATATATATAAACTATTATACCCGTCGGGTTATATGGCTAAGCACTTGAACTCCAACTTTTAACTTAGCCTTGGCCAGTAACCTAAAACATTTGTTTTCAAATTTTCACATCACCTTGTCTTGTTTTCGAAATTAATTAGTTATTCGAATTGCGATTCTTAGTAGTTAACTCACCTTGTCGCCCTGCTGTAGGCCATTTTTCTCAGCCGGCCCGCCAGGCACTGTCCAGACAATGTAGGCAAAGAGCCGCCCGTCGGTGCCGGTTTTGCCGCCAACCACGCGCATGCCAAAGCCTCGTGCTGCAAAAAAAAAAGAAGACGGCACGAAATTTAATAAGAAAATATGCTGACTGATTATGGGTAGCGAAAAACAAAAAGGAAAATCAATATTAAATCTTCGAGTCCACACAGACGTAGCACGTAGCAACAAATTTGGGGCATGTGGCAAGCAATTTGTGTTGATTTCATTTGCAGTTTGCACTGCTTGTCTGACACCCGGAGTACATTGCGTATACGCCTCGTTGTTTGCGTGTTTGTCTGACACCCTACGAGCACACTGTGTATATGCTATAGACAAAAGCACTCGACTCGGCAAACAACTCGACTATTTACTTTTCTAGCTGACTGTCTGCACAAGTTTTGTGCTTAGTCGACTTTTATTTGAAAGGGATGCTTAGTTTCATATTAGCTTCGAGCTAGAGCTGGGCGCGTGCTGGATTTATATAGAGCCGAACTCGACTTCTTTTGGCCAGTGACTTTGCCTTGTCTGACATGCTATAATCCAAAATTGTTTAGTTTTGTGTATGCTTTCCAAAAACATTTCTAAAGCAGAACAGCTCGAGAAAATTGGGTTGCCACCTGTACGAATTCAACTTGAAAACAAGAAAATTTTGCTTTATGGCCAGTCTGCAGCTGCACTCTCAAGATTTCGTTGCAAGAATCCAAACGATTTAATTAATTTAATTGCAATTTCAGTTTGCTGTTGGCCGAGTGCGCTGCGAATGTGCAGCTCAGTTTCAAGTACTTATCATTGGGCGCAGAAAACTAATTTCAACAATTTGTGCACGAAAACTTACGAAAGCGGATTTCCGCCCCAAGCCCCATCTTCTTCTTAGCAACTCAACCAAGAAATGCTCAGCTCCCAGCCAGACAGTTGAACGCTTGCTGCAGACAATTGCCAAGAAAGTTAACTAGCGACTTGCTGAGAGCCAAGCAGGGAAGCGAAGTGGTGAGGGAGGGGGGGGGGGCTAGTAGTGTGGTATGTGGGGTAACGAGACATTGACAATGAAATTTTGTTCGTCCAAGGTTTTCGGTGACATTTTTGCCTTTACGTTTGTGTGGATTTCCACAGCAGAATTATTCAGAGCAGGTACCTTCAGTTTTTTTTTTTGTTGGAAAAGTTTTGCGCAGGAAATGCCAACAAACTGGCGCCGCGCCCTCAGAAGTATGCAATAAAATGTTGCGCATACGCCTCGTTGCTGCTGTTGATTTGGGGCACATTGATACCCAATTAGGATAACGCGACATTTTCTCTTTGAGTGTTTTAATCAAAAGTTTTCTTTCGCTTCACTTTCTCTTTTTGTTTCTCATCTTTTCTTTTGCTCGCTAAACACGGCCATAAAAACGAAATAAATAAAACACAAATCCTTTGCTGTCAGCGCTGCCTGCGTCCTAGTGACAGCAAAAAAGCGAAAAGGATGTAAAATTGCGCAGATTATTCACAAGCTGACCGGGATATAAAAGTAGTCCATGACCTGGCAGTTTTGAGACTCGCGATTTGCTGCTACCATTTAGAAATGATTAAATCTGATTTATGAGCATGCGGAAACTTAGCTGTCTGCAGGGTAACTATTAGTCGTGCATACGCGACTGTTGCTTTGTGTAAGTTATCCCTTGGCCGCACTTAACATGCACGAAATGTGCGTGCTGAGTGAATACTCGATATGCTTAGACTTGGTCATAAAACCCGCCACATTAAAATCATGAGACTACCCCTGAATGGACAGCACTAAGGTGAGGTTGGGTTTTTGGGTTCCGATGCGAGAGGTTGGGTTCTGCCACTCGCAGTTTGCCTTGGCTATTTTGGCAGCCCGTGTCTCATTGTTTGTCCTGAGCTGTCCTGCTTTCCTGCTGCCGGCTGTCGGCTAGCTGCTCCTTTCGTGTGCATGTGTCATTCAGCTACGTTTTATGATACAATTTGTTGATCTTTTATTTTTATTTTCCTTTGTATTTTGTATTTTTATTTTTATGTCGGTATCATTAGGATTTTAATAAGCCAAATACTGAGCATTGTTGCTGGTAGCTATGGGCATGTTTATGCCCAGAATTTGCCAACTTTTTATTGAGGGTCACCCTCTTATGTCTCCCTCGCCCGTCCTTTGAGGTCACCCACTAATTTTGGGTACGCTTAAAAAGTGATCTATGTGTGCGGCGGCAGTTGTGGTAGTTGCTTTAAGTTTTACCTGTTTGAAATTTGTGCTGGAAACTTTTAAGCCTCTGTCCTGGCAATTGCTTGTGTGGCATGCCAAAGCTTGCCCTGCATCTAATGGCATTAGCAGTGCAAACTTTTAGTTGCCTGGGCGAAGGACTTAATCGATGCACACACTCACACCCAAACGCACGCAGCTGCTGCCAGGGCATGACCAAGCTTTTTAGTGGCTGCTATCAGCTGCCATAAAAATTGATTCTTAATTAAACTAGCAAGAGCGGCAACTGCTTGGAGACAGACCTTAGCCAGGTTATCAACTTTGAGAGAAAACTAATAAACAAGTGCGCCACACGTGTGTGCATTCAAGTGCTACTTTGGAACACCTGGAACAGCTACAAGACAGCCAATCGCTCGTTTATGTCAACAGCTGAGCGAGCCAGCAGCTGAAGGAGACAAGCGACTCAAAGGGGCTGCTGCTAAGTAGAGCGTGCCTGGAAAATACCCGCAAGTAAGCAGTGTGCTTAAGAGCACTAAAACTATGAATGGCAGCCACGCTTGCCGGCGCGGCGGCACGGGGCGCACTCTGGCTACCTGTTGCCCCGAACAAAACCAAACGAGCCAATCGCACGCAAACTCCTATATGTGTGTGCAGGTTTTACGTGATTTGCAGTAATAAATGCGTAGCTCATGAGGCTGCATAAAATTTCATTAGGCGTGTTAAGACGCCATTCGGGCCACTAACGCAATCGCCCAGTGGCGTCCATTATTGCCTGTGCGAGTATATGTGAGCGGGTGTGTGTGTGTGTGTGTGTGTTACTTTAGCAGCCAATAAAACACTTGGACGGACTGCATAATTGAAAGCGCATTAGGCCATTTACAATTACATAACATTTGCCATCGATTGCTTTGTATGTTAGCTGCATTTGATGTGCTTTTCGGTTTAATTGAGCGCCCTTTCAAAGCAGCTGCTAATTGCGCAACTGCTCGAACAAATGTGCAGAGCTGCTTTAAAATTACATGGCACTCGTATAGCACACACACACAGACCCCCGTTGCATCGCATGCAAGTCAATATCTCTCTCAAGGCGAGCAGGTGCCACAGGCGCAGTCACAGCGTGTGTCAGGCGTGCGCTTGTGGTTAAGCCGCACGGCAAATAGCTAAAGCAAGGATATAGCCAGAGATATATATATATTGTATATGTATAAGGATGACAGCCACAACAAATGCCAGCAGTGGCGCGCCAGCGTCAGGCAAGAAAATGGTTTAGCACATTAAAATTCCACTTGCTTCGTTGCATATCAAATATGCCAGGTAAGCAGCAGGCAGTCAAGGCAGGCGACGGCATAGAGAAGATCCAGGCAACCAGTCAGGAGAGCCTGCTTAACTCTTGATACGAGCACAGACACACACACAGACAGACATTCACACGCACACATTTTTATCATTACAGGCTGCGCTTACGTGTATTTGTTGGGTATTGACATTTTTTTATGATATGCAAATTGAAATTTTACTATATAGAGTTATACGTATATGGGGAAATAAGCCAGTCAGGCGCACGTTTGTGGCACAAGTGAGTGGCAGACAGGTAGCCAACAAGCCAGCGGCTAGTTATTTGATTACAATTATTTGCGTTCGTGACTTTAAGCCCGACTACCAAGCACTTTAAGCCAATTAGGTTTGCTTTTCATCTAATTTAACGTGTTCCGGCCAGTGAATACAGCAGCAACATGAGCTGTCAGTAACAAACCAACTACCTGACCTGGGTTTCGATTCGTGCAGCTCGATTTTCACATCCATTAATCCAGTTTTTGTTTCGAGCCCTGTCATATGTTCTCGACATTTTGACGCAAGAATTCATTTTCAATTTTTAACTGCCCCTTCTACTGAAAATATTGCAAACCGTAAATATTTTCATACAGAAATTGCGGGCTAAATTAGATCTTCACCCCAAAATTGGCATCCACCAATAATGTGTAGATAAAGCCAATATTTGGGGCCAAAGTTATTTATGCTTTGGAGCTGAGTATCTTTTGTTTACGACATAGAGTAAAAATCTGTCTTGCAGTCATGGCCATAACAGTCAAAATAAATCTGTCAAATCTATGCATCTATAAAGTGAATTCAATGAAATGGAAGAATAAGCGATTCGAGTTTTAATTATGAGCGACTAACTGTCAAATCGATTTTCCATTTGCTCTCTTACATATTTGCATAAACTTTCCACTCAACTTCTTTTGCCTGCTCCGCTGCTTTTTCAATCTTTTCCATCGTTCTGCTTTGCTCGGTTGTAACTTTTCACATTTCCGAGCCATTCGTGACAGTTTTGCATGTACTTTAAAATGTTCCAATGCGATTAGGTAATTTTTAAGGAACACAACTGAGCGTGTCAGCGCTTGAAGGCGCTTCTCAGAATGCGGTTGAAAACTGAACTAGTCGTTAGTTATTTTATTTTAATTTTTACATTAAGCACGACAGCAGTTATGGACAGTACAACAGGTATAAAATCTTGATTATCCACTTTAATAACTTTGTCAAAACTAAATCGATATCCACAAGGACTTGGGATATAAAAACTTTTATGGCTTAAGTTGAAAAGCGAAGAAAATTAAAATAATATTTTTCAAAGTTCCCATTCAGTTTATTATGTTTTGAAATAATTAATACTTAGTTAGACTTTAGCTTGTGCCTTTTATATCTGCTCTTAAGTTCCTCTTTGCGCATTTTGTTTCAATAAGTTTTCATTTCTTCCTCATGCTAATTTGATGCAATTTCTTTTGAATTCTAATGCTCTGGCACGTTTTTTGCTATTGATTTTTTTCTGTACTGATAATTAAAAATTCATTTGCACGGTCATTTTATGCGCATCGTTTGTCAAGCGCCATCGCAGCCACAGCTGCCCCACAGAGGAATGCAACAAAAAATGCATATAATTAAAATACGTACACACACAGACACTTTGAATTGATGACAAGGCGGAGAAGCAACGCCAGCAGCTAGCTGCCATTATATGTATATGTGTCGTATATGTAAACTAGCAGAGATATATGTATATGCACGTATAAGTTTTGTTGTGTTGGGTCTGTGTTTCTGTCGTAGTTGTGCCTGCAGTCCTTTATGTCAATAAAATCCGCTCAGTTGCTTAATCTGCTACCAGTTTGCTTCCGCTTTGGGTTTCATTAGGGCCCACGGGACCCCGACCACATTATCCTTTACGGTCGTATCGTATCGCCGTGCAGTTTGCTTGGGAATTGGGAAAAGCGCAGAGCGGACAGGAAATGTTAGCGGCTTGGTCGAGTCCTTTCAGTGAGTCTCTGGTCGTCGGTAGGTCGCTCTGACGAATTAGCATAACGAAAAGTTGTAATGAGTCTTATTTACTTGGCCATTTCCGGTGTGGCCAGAAGGGAGCACGGCCCCAGCGTGCTTTCATCAAATAAAATTTGCTGTACACACACACACACATACCCACACGCACGCACATACATGATTATGCACACATTAAGGTGGAGGCAGTTTGTGTGCTCTCTGAAGGCTTTACTTACTGCGATGTGCCTTGTCCGTGGGGTCCCGGCGCAGGACAATGCGACGCTTTGATGCACATATCGGACCGGAATCAACATCATGTATGACAATACGTATGGCTTCGCCATCCATGGAAGTTTGCCGTCGTGGTGCCTCCAAATCCTCCAAATTGGGACCCGTAAACGAGGCCATTGGCGCCGGTATCGCGCAGGTCAGACCCGTTGGCAACGCGCCGCGATTCTGCAGCGCCGCAATGTCCGGCCTGCAATCGGGACACAGAAAAACACGGTGTTAATACGTGCTGAGCTGCCAGCCCCAAAAATTGGCGACCACTTACAGCTGTGAGCCGCGTCGCCGCATGCGTCGATCATCGTCCACAGTGAGCACTGGGCTGCCCTTATCCGGCGAGCCGGGCGACTCATCGTTCTGCATATCCTCCGAGGGATGCGGCACACGAAACGAGGGACGGCGCGAGCCCGGCAGCTGCACAGACGGCATTATGCCACCGCCGCCATCACACGGTGAACGCTGCTGTTGTGTGGCTGCTGTTGCCGCACCCTGCATCAGTCCCGGGGCAAACACATCGTAGGCCGATTTCCTGTTGGAAATTTATCGTTAACGGCAGTTCTGCTTGCTAGCCCTGTGGCTTACCTGCGCGGCATGGTTGGTATGCCCAGGCCAGCACCATCAGCGCCCACGCCCAGCGCGGGCCCGCCCCCACCCATGCTGCCGCCCACGCCGCCCGTCTTCACGTCATCATCGTAGCTGTGCTGGCGCGAGACACGTGAGCCGCGCCGCGACTGCATCCGCGAGAGGGGCGCGCCAAATGCGGGCTCCAATTCGCTGCCGCGCGGCGGGCTATTCGAACGGCTGGGCGCCATGCTGCGTCCACCTTTTAGCTGCTGAAATTACATTAATTACACGAAACAAATGGCAGTGGTTTGTGGCTGCTGTGTGTGCGTGATGGGATTTACTTACGCGCTCCAGCTCCTTCAGTGATGCAGGTGAAACATCTGAATGGCGACGCAGCTCTGGACTGCGCGGCGGTGCCAAGGCGGCGCCATTGCTCGGCGCCAGCGTCTGTGTGCTGCTGCCCAGCTTGGCGTCCGAGTGTCGACGCTGCAGTGCCTCCAGCACGGGCACGTCCAGCGTGGAATCTGTCGAGTCCTGTGGTATACAGACGCGCGAGGCCATCTTGCGGCGGCAAACGCTGCAGCGCCACATGTTCTGCAAAAGGGCCAAGGGATGGATGACGTGAGAGAGAGAAAGAGAGAGAGGGGAAATCAGTGCAAAGCAAAATTGCGTATACGCAGCGTTAATTAAATTTCATAGCTTAGCGCTAAATTCTATTTGTGGCTGCAGAAAACAGCGGGATAATATTTATTAGTTCGTTAAAGTTGAAGAAAAGGCAACATTATGCTCGGCTCTATGGCTGCTGTTGCTGCTTGCGTTGTTGTTATTGTTGTTGTTTTAGTGCTGGTTGGAAATAAATATTAATTACTTTTTGAACAAAAGTTGCACCGTGCAGCCGCGAGCTGTGCGAAAAATGAATCTATTTCCGCGCACGTGAAAAGGTAGAATAAGAGTGGGCAGCAGTTGCCACGTTCTCAACCACGAGTGGGCGCAAATGACTGCCTGGCACTTCAACCCAACCCCACCTGCACGTGCACCACAGCCTGCACTAAGCTCCAGCAATGCCCGCTACACTTCCACCTGGTCGATGATTCATTTGACCCAGCGGCAGTCGACGGTAAACTCATGTGTGTGAATGCTGCACCGGAAGTTGCCGCCATTTTAATTGAGGTGCAGCAGAGCGTGCTTCTATATATATACAATTGTGCGTGTGTCTATGTGTATGTGTGTGCTTCAAGTGCGTCTATAATCATAGATCGTGCTGTATTGTCCCCGTGCTGAGGATGTGCCACAGCCGCAGCAATGCAGAAGCTGTGCTTTCGCTTTTATTGCTTTTGTTTTCCCCAACTGGTTGCATTATAATTACAGATGCTGTGGCTCCGGCTCCTGATCCCGGCGAGAAATCAATTGCAACTGTTGTTTTAAAGCTTGTCGCACAACAAACTCAGCTGCGATTCTGAGCCAGCCTTTTAACCGTTGCTGCAAACTGAAGGCATTTCATTTGAAGGCTGCTGAATGTCGATTTCGTATGCATAAGCAGGAAATCGATTCGAGATGCAAGAGAGAAAGGATGCAGAGCAGGAAACCCTGAATATTGAGTGCATTAAATAGTAGACTGTTGTTGATTTTAGAAGGAAAAGCTGACTAGAGACTAGAGAGAGACTTTTGTTGAGATATGACTAACTGCACCAACTGACTACTCTATATTATGAAAACCTGTGTATTGGAATCTCTTCCTCTAATCCTACCTAATCCGATTGTTTTATTGGCTTGCACACCCCACAACCTTGTTAAATCGACATACTGCTGCATTAGATCGCTGCAATAAATATAATATAAGCTCCATAACTATGCTGAAAATTACAACAAACACATTTTAATTGGAATAACCTAGATAATTATTAATTGCTGCTGCGCCTCTGTGGGTATGCAATAGCTGCTGCATTCAGCGGGCATATCATATGCTTCTGCCACAACCTCAAATTGCCAACTCATTGCAAATGATGACAGCGGCTTGGGTCAGGCCATGGTCAGGCCAACAGCTGCCTGGAACGTCGCATGCGTTCATTGTGCAAACGTGGGCCATAATTACGCTCCTGTGGTCATAAATACATGTGTATATATGCACTTCTATGTGTGTTTGTGTGTGTGTGTGTGTGTTAGCGAGTGTAATCGTTGCTGAGTAACTGTAGCTATGTGTGTGTTAGTGCTCGCCCACAAACATCAATTTCAATTAACCAAAGTGGCCAGTTGACTTACAAACGTTAAATTTTATGCGCAGGGCGTTGCCGGACACTTCACACGACTGTCGACATGGAGAAAGCCGCCAAATTACCACAAATTCAAGACAAAGTTGCAGCCGTACGGGCATTGTTGCTGATTCAACAGATACGAGACTCTCTCTCTCTCCCTCCATCTCTATATAGATGTATATATAAGTATGCTTGTTATGGTTGCCCAGTCTATGGTCATTATGTGTGATATTGATACATGCGGCGAGTGTTTGATTGAATAGGTTTCAGCAGGAGTGAAGCAGGCAGAGCTGCTTACTTGCTGTGGGCGTTGCCGCCCTATTAATGCTTGGCTAGGCAGGCAACTAGGCAACCAGCCGAGCAACAGGCCAAGTGCAACTGGCGCCAGCCTGACCAGCGCGGACCCTCTCTTTGACTTTGGCTTTTGTAGCTGTCATTTAATCTCGTTAATCTGGCTTTTATCTTGTTAATGCCACGAGGCAGAGCGAAGGCAGAGCTATTGTTATTGGCGCCGCTGTCGCTGTTGCTGTTGCTGGCAGCCCCTAAATGTAATCTAATTTGTGTGCAGGCAGCGGTTAATGTATGCCACTGCCACGCCCTTGCTGCCACGCCCATGCAATCATTGTCACAGCCAGATGCCAGAAGCGCTTTAGTTTTGCCGTAGTCAACGAAAATGTAGCGCAACGCATTGTGGGGCTTACACACACACATACACTTACACAGCTGTTGTTTCTCTTATTAATTAAGCGCCGCGGGATAATGTGTTTATTTTTACCACGCCCACAAATGGACATTGCCTAGTGGCTTGGAAACGTGTTGTCCCCCTGTTGTTTTCGCTGCAGTTGCCAACAGCAACATCATCGCTACCTATTCCCCCACCTCACCCACTCCCGCCACATAGAATAAAACTTACCGCGTCCTCATGATCGTCTAGCTTGCTGTAGCTGGCGCAATCCTCGCACACACGCTGCTGGCACTCGAAGCACGTCTTGTGGTAGTCGTCCGGCTTGAAGGACTTGAGGCACACCCGGCACGCCCCCGCTCGGCGTCCGGGCTCCTGTTTGGCGGCGGCGCCACCACTGCCACCGCCACCGGTACTGTTATTGTTGTTGTTCAGATTGCTGCTGGCCTCCTGCTGCTGCTGCTGTTGCTGTTGTTGCTGCTGATAGCTGGGCGAGCCATAGCTGCCGCTGGTGTCCGCATCCGTTGGCACCAGAGAGGGGCGTGGCGACATTTTATTAACTGCAGCGAGAAAAAATTGCGCTCAATGAAGTCAGCACAAATGCATTAAAAACCCCGACCCCACCCTTCCAAATGGGCGTGGTTGGCGCCTTGCCCAAGGCAGATTTAATAATTCACTTGTTGCTCGGCAAAATGTGACCTGATTTCATAATTAATTCATTTGTAAATTGGTAACGTGACAGGCGCAGACGAAAAAGGGCGATAAATAAAATAAATGACTGCGATTAGCGATAGTCAAAGCGGAAATTGCCGACATCGTAGCGACAAGTGGGCGTTGCTCTAAATTGCCAATTAATTGAGGCAAGCGAAGGCGACGGCGAAGGCAGTTGAAAGCCAAACGGCAAAAGCAATGATTTATGTACATTAATGTGTGCTTGTCTACAAATACACAAATGTATTAATACTATATACAATTTATGAAATTATATTTTAATAAATAAAAAATGTTATAAGGTCCACTTGTCTGATAAAAAGCTTTCAGTGTTCGCCACTTAGGCAGTCATGGCATGGACGAGTTTGCTTTGCATTATATACAGTCGAGAAACAAGCACAAAGCTTGCTTTGTTTGGCATGTTGCGTATACGCTCAGTTGCACGTGAAGACTTTCTTTTTGGCTGCGGAAACGAAACTTTTCTTTTTGGGCCAACTGGAACAATGGCAAAAGGTGAATCAACATTTTTGTGACCACAATATAAATTGTTAATTTTGCTTTAATATGGACGAACGATTTAAATCTTTAAGAGAAATTAGAAAAAAGCTACCGCGTCAAAAATTTCTGCGAATAACAAACTGCTCAAAGGCTGGCCAATTCGCTGGTTAATACGGCCCAAAAATGCAGCTATAGTATAAGCTATATATAAGTGCGCCCAAATGTGCTCTTAAGCACAGTCAATTATGTGGCAATTGGAATCGTGAGTCGAGGTCGTGCACAAGTACATTTTGCAAAATATTTGCACAAATTATGCACACAATAGCAATAACAGCACAAAAACTTGAAGCTGTGGACTTGTCTTTATGGTTGGGGTGGGGGGAAACAGCGGGAGGCGAAGTCAAGAAGAGTTGGTTAAATAAACATCATAAAATAACATTTCATTTCGAACTAATAAATCTGCTGTGGACGCAATAAAAGCAGGAAGCCACCGCACAGCCAACTAAAATGCAATAAAATCAAGAAGGAACTGTTTTATGTGGCTTAACGAATTATAAATACCCTTACACAGAACAAACGTTCAATAAGAGAAGCTGATCTTAATAATAGTTGTTTTGTGTGCCAAAGAAAATATAAAACTATATAAATAGTGTGGTATCGGTGTTGCCTCTTTGAAAGCATGCCACATTTCGCGATTAAATGTGAATACCCGCTGCAAGAGTATAATAACACAAAAGTCAACAGTCGTGTTCGTGTGTGTGCGGTTGCTGGAGCTGCTGTTAGCCATTTATTGACATTGGATTTGTGCTGTGGACACTAGTAAAAAATGTACAGCTCTCGTTGTTTATGGCTGCCATAACAATGACTATAATAATGGCAATGCCAATGACTGGCTAATGCATTTGGCTGACGCTGACCTCTGCATAATTCAAGGTGCACAGCGAGCGTATAAAGCTAAAAGAAAATATTGCGTATACGCAACGTTTGTTGCTTTGTGCAAGGCTATAACGCCGTGAGCTAATGGGTAAAAATCAGGAGCGGGTTGGTTAAGATTGTGCTAGCTTGGCACATTTCCTGTTTTGGCTCATTGTTATGACTTGCGTGCACTTTGAGCGCTTACTTAGTTTTGGCCTTTTGTTTGCGCTTACGCTGCGTACACGTAATATTTTTTCAGGCAACCATCAGCTGGCTTTGGCATTGCAAGGGCAAAGTTTTGTAAAAGTTTTGCGAGCAGCTTTATGAGCACTTGCATAAAAATTCATGCCATAAATTCGCATGCACTTACGACCCGCGTACGCCAATTCCAATCCCAAGACCCAAACCCCAAACCTGGACTCACCTTTGTCTGTCACGGTTAGCAGCGATGAGGAGAGCGTTGCCTTCATCTTGTTTAAAGCGCCCGTGTTTGAGGCGCCACTGCCAGAATCGGTTGAATGCTGATGCCCCTGGTTGGCCTGTTCATCGGTGGCCACCATCTGCGTAAGATGAAAAAAGAAAAAAAGCGATTTAAGAAGAAAGTTGTAAATATTAACGGCATATTGAGCTGAAAGTTTCATTTGTGGCAGCAACAAAATATTTATAGTTATGTGCACACACTTATGACCAAGGGGGGGTATTGAATCTGTACGGTTTTAAATGCAATTTCTTGTTGGAATTGAATCGAAATTGAATTCCGGAACAGCTTTATGACTGTTCATTTAACTGCGCGCCAGCTGTTGCTCAGCCGGGCCAATGTATTTGTTAATTTTATTTGAATTTTCTTTTCACTTTTCATGCCTCCCTCCCAGCCTGAAAGGCTCTCCGCATATTTTTATAACGTCTTGCCAGCTCATGCTCATTTCGAGCATCGTCATTCTGATAAACACCAAAAAGGCAGGCAGGTGAAAAAATGCGTTGCGTTTTATTTGTTTTTGTGCTGCTTCTTCTCGTTGTTGTTGTTGTACCTGCTGGACCGGCGCGGCTCGAGCGCAACAAATTGCTAAGAAATCGTAAAATGCGGCAAGCAATTTTTATTTAAACTAAAAAAAAAAGACCAAGTGAGCGGCTTTCGAAAATTGCCGTCATTCTTTTTAATGCACACACATACACTCTAGAGTGCGTGAGCGTGAGCAAGACAATGGGAGAGGGGAGAGAGTGTAACACTAAAATTGAGAAAAACAACAACAAAATGTTAGCTGGTTGGCTGGCAAGGCGACCAAGCGAGCAGCTCCTCCATCTCTTGCCGTAACATAAGTGCTCTGCGTTGTCAGCGTTTTATGAAGTGGAAATTTTCTATTTGCCAAAGCGATGGCGGCGACGAAACCGGAACAAACAGCCGCCTATGTGGGCTATACACAGTCCAGCACACACACACACACACCCACTCACACACACACACTATTTCACTCTCTGTCTCTCTCAGTCAGATATGGCGCAAATTACGCTAAGTGCTTTTGGCTGCAACGTTTTTCGTTGCCTACCTTTGGCGAGGCGCCTTGGGAAGAGGGAAGCACCTGCTCTGTACTCAGACTCGGCTAAGCGCTGCCTAGTGTCAGATTATGGTCGCTTTGTGCTCAGCTTGTGCTACATTTTTGATGATGTCATTTCGAAGTCGGCCTCAAGGCAATATTCATGTTGCTCCGGATTTATGTATATGCTTTTCTGTCTGCCCCAGCTAACTAGCTGGAAACCAATCTTGGTCTACTGCATACTCGTATATCCATGCCTTTGCCCTGGCGCTCCATATAATTTATGTACTCGCTGTGGCAAAAACTACTCCGCCATCGTCTCTGTCAGTGTCTGGTGCTGCCGCTTAGCACGTGTAATTATGGCCGTGTTAATTTCGTCATTTATTATGAGGTTTTTTTAGAGGCGAGCCCTGTCTCAAAATAGTTTCGTTTTTAGTGCCCAAAAATTATGGGCTGCTGTATAGACATTTAAGTGCTGCTGATGCGGCCAAGGACCGCCATAATCCACACAAGCCATATGTGCGTCCTTTATGGCCGTAAACTACGCTACATAAAATGCAAGTCAATATGTAATAAGAGAGCAGCAGCAGGGTTGAGGTGGGTGCAGACAGAGCTGTGGCATTTTCGCGTTCTGATTGAAAGCGCACGAATTGCAGCTGACTGCACATGAAAATCAATAAAAAGCAAAATGAAAGCATCTATCAAAACGTACAACGACCATGCAATACACTAACAAATTGGGCTAGACATAAAGTCGGTTGCTGATTGGCATTGCTGTCAGTAAAATAAAGATGCTGCTTTGGATAAATATGCAAAAGCTTCAAAAAGCATAGCATGCTTTTCGGGGCGGCTGATTTGCTTGCAGCACATAGGTAAATGTAAATAACAGAGCCAAATTTTAGACATCATGTGGCTTACTGGCAGCACACACATTAAGCCGAATGTGAGTGTGGGTGTGTTCGTTGCAGTGCAAAAACCACAAACAACTGTAGCACAAACTGCAGGCAGCTACTTAAATTTTGGTCTGTTATGGTGTGTATGTGTCCGTGCGTGTGTGTGTGTTTGCTAGTTGATAAAGTTCAGGGAAACTATTAAGAAAATTACAGCACATAATTTACAGCAGGCGCTTGCCTGCATTTAAGCTTTTCTCTCACTTTTAATCTCATATTCTCTCTCTTTCTCTCTCCTGCTCTCTGTTTGCAACACATTTACGCCCCACTGATTGCCTTTGCATTTTGTGGCGTTTTTTTTTTGTCTTAGGTAAAGGAGAGAAAGAGGAGCATGAAATTTATGTAAGGCATTTAATGGGCAAAATAAATAGCAAAACTTTGGGTAATCCTTTCATTTATATTTATTTCTTCTTTGTAAGGATCTGCTGACAGTGACATTGCTGAACTGTCATCGTCAAATCATATTTTCCTGAGTTGGGTGGTTTTCTGCTTTGATTTTGTGCTTCATTTGGTAAATTCAAAGTTTTTCTGCTCAGGCAACCTAAGGAAACAGTTCATCACTCACAACCTGAGACATTTGCTTGTTTCAGTTTACTTTTACTTTAATTTTCTTTTACATTCTGCTGCTCATAAACTTTTCTAAAGAATTTTGGGGCTAAATAATTTCAGCGGAATTTACACTTTCATTTTGGTTGGGTTTCTTGGCTTTTTTTTTGCATGTCCTTTGTGTGTGTTTTTACAGTATTATTTTTGGCTGAGCTTATGTCTAATTTTATGCCAAAAAAAAGGCAAACGACGCACCCTTCGGGCAGGTGCTTAAGTACAATTGAATCGCTTTGATTGCTGCCCCTTTCATTTATTTATTTTTGATATTTTTCCTGTTTTTCTAGCTAGCTAAAAAAAAATATAAATAACAAAATAAATGCAGTCGAGCGTCCAAAGCATTTACCGGACTTTTTAATTAAAAAGTTTTGTTTGTATATTGTTTTTTCTCATTCACCCTATTTCCCTCTCTTTCCTTGCGATTTAGCGTTGTTTGTCTTTGTTGATCCCCGTTTGAAAAAAAGGCTTAAAATCATTGGCAGCCCACGCAGTGAAAGCTGATATACCTTTAAATAAGTGCAGTTGGCTTGTGAATTTCAATTTAATTCTCAATTCATTTGTTTTCACAGCATTCCAAACAGCAAATGCTCATTAAGTTTTCAGTGACGGCGAAAAAAAATAATTAAAAATCAATACACTTTGCGAGAGTGAAAAAGAAATTAAGGCATAAATTACGTTAGCAACTGTCAACTGACTGTTGCCTCAAAGTCGCGAATGGAAGTGTGAAAATGTTCATCGGTAATTTTATCACTGAATATTCCGTTGTTCAAGTGTTAACAGAAAGTTTGGTATTATCATTTCAGAAAGATCATAACCCTCTATCCAAAATTGAAACTGGATATAGTTTCATTTTCTTTAAGCAGACAGATATTGTACAGAAAAAATATACCCTGCCCCTTTATGGTTAACGCACAACAATTAATAAGAAGTGGAAAGCGAATTATGGTAAATGTAATATTGAGAATGTTCTCAGATTCGCAGTCGCTTACCTTTTTCATGAACGTCATCACATTTGTGGGCAACATTTTGTCAGTGTTGTCGTCCTTGCGCGTCCTTCTTGTTTGTATTTAAAGTGCAATTAATCACGCATACGCCGTGTTGGTCGTGTGCCTGCTGGAATTTATGCTGCTGCGGCTTTTGTTTTTGTTTGCGCCTGAGTTTCGTTTTACGTTGCCTTTTTCGTTTGTTTTGCACTTTTAAGCGGCTTTAAGTCATTTTTGTTTTTGCTGCATTGCTGTTGTAGCTGTTGTTGTTGCTGTCCATTCTGTGTGCGCTTCAATTTGATTGAAAACAAATGGCCATTTTTCATGCACCATGTAAATAGCCATTGACATTGTATATCGAAATCGTTCTTATATCGAGTGCAACATGGTTTCACGAACTACATGTTGCTCCGTAGCTCCGCGTGATTTACTTATGTGTAGTACAGCGCTTATAGCCCCATGGCATAAATGGGTTTTAAAGCCAACTCAACGTTGCTGTTCCCTCTCGCTTTTAATTAACATTGGTTTTTATTTACAGCGACTGCAATAATGGGAAAAATGGTTAGGGGTTATAATTAGTTATTTAGTATAGGCTGAAAAGTTGCAGGAATCGGTTTAAGTGCAAGTCATGCCCAAATCCCCGCAGGGCTTACACCGTACTTAAGTTTTTGGACCGCCATAATTTTTGCCAGCGATAAGCATCAACAGCGTTTGGGTTGCCCTCACACACACGCACTCACATACACGCTTACACACACACACACACCCACACAATCTCTTGCCTGACATGGCGCTGAAAAGTCGAGCGGCAAAAGTTTATAAGGCGGAAAATAATGTGTTGCGCTGCATGCAAAGTGCTTAAGCGTACTGTGAATTGTAGGCGTGGTGGCAGCGCGATAAACTGACCATTATAATGGCTGCTGCTAGAGCTTACAACTAGGTTAAGCAGTCGCATTAAGTCGCGTGTAAAAATATACTTATATGTTAGCTATAATAAAACAAAATAAATAGGTACGCAAATAGCAACATTCTAAGTAAACCAAATTGTATTTCGTCTCCCTACTTTTAGCTGGCAAGAAGCTTAAGGCATTTCTTTCTTTGTTTTACCTTAAAAATAAATGCCTGAATACGTGCTTTCGTGCACAGCACTTAGGTGCTTAAAAGCATCGACTAGTATCGAGTTGCTTTACTTACTTTGCACCTGCCACTTTGCCAACCCTCCCACACAGTCGCCTTAAAGCCTTCAACTTTAAGTTTTGTCTCTTGTTTTGCTTATGTCAGTCATTGTCATCAGTTTTCTCTGTTGGCGCAAATCCTTGGGTGTACTCGTAAGCTGCTCCCAGCCATTCACAACTCTTGCGCTTTGTACAGCTTATGGTACATTCACAGCAAATCTTGTTGCCCTTCTTTTGCCTTCCTTTGACTAAGGAATAGTAGCCGCACTTAGCAGCGCACTCCCCCCTCTTTATACCCTGTATACATTACAATTGGGCATACATGAAGAAAGTTCGAGGAAATCAGTTTAGAATACAAACTTTTCATTGGGCTGCAAGCCCAAAACACATCCACAAATATTTAATTTTTACATTTAAATGAATTAGTTCAATGTTAAATGTATAACTGTCCATTCTAATGAAAAAATTGTAGGTCATAAATATTTTCATACAGAAATTGCGGGCTATATTTTATGGTTGGAACCCACTTTTTTTTTTGTGCGGATCTCCCTCCAATCATTCAGAACCAAAAAGGTTTGCCTGTTTTTTTTTGGGCAATCGGTTTGGTGCATAGTTAAAACTTAATGTGAAATTCGGTTACGAAACGGATTAAAACTGGTTCACTAAGTTAGTTTTATGTATAAAAAGACATTTAAATTTTATATACTTAAAAATTGATAAAGAATCAGGTAATAAGCACAAAAGTTATTAATTATTCAGCTGTTTGTTATTCAAGGTTAGGTTAGGTTACTTCTACGCTTCCTACAAGGTATCTTCTAGTCAATCACTGTTGAGTTTAGCGCTTTTTCTTGTTCTGGCTCCGGCTTTGGCTTGGCTGCAGCATTATTAAATCAAATGACCCACATAGCAATTGAATCGCTCGATTTGCAGTCAATATACGATCTGTGCGAGCACTTGCAACATTTGCAATTCCCATATCTAGTGGCTGCTACAAAAATTAAAGACAGTGCTCAACTATTTCACATGGTCCGAAAGTTTTCGAACTTTGCGTTAAAGGAAATTGGCAAAAGAAATTTCATTTCAATGGTTTGTTCATTGTTGGGTTATTTCTATCATTGGGTTCTTCTTGACATTTGTGTGCACATTACAAAAGTTCATAAAAAGCCATCGAAGCGCAGTTTGGAAAGTTGGCCCGGAACTGGCGGACATCCAGAGATGGCGCTGAGATATTCGTGGGAATTGGTTGGGGCATGACATTGAAAATATTTACGCTTAATGAAATTTTTGACTTGCTAAATGAGTTGAGTTTGCTTAACTTTATAAATGGCATTTGGCAAATAAGAAATGCAGAAAAATTATTTGAAGCTGAAGGCTGTCAACATGCCAGCAACAGGACGTAGCTGCATGCCACGGCAAGGAGACTGAGAAAGATAAATAGAAATCAGGACACGCTGCAATATGCGAGATTCGGACGATTTTCGTGGGCGTTTGCCTCCAGAATGTAAAGCAAACTGTTACAAGTTACAAGTGTTTGCATGCCACGCCCATTCGCCCATTTCGGCGACGACGACGACGACGATGAGGATGTTGGAGAAGGCGGTGACCCGTCTGCCTCCGCTGCTGCTTACACGAGCTTGGCGCGCCAGGATGTGCTCATAAATTGTAACTTTGGCTGTTGCTGCTGCTGCTGCTGCTGGCTGTAGGCAACAAGCATGAAATCACATGAACACACATACACACAGGACGAGGTCTGGCAAAGTTCCAGCTGGTATGGTTGGCACATAGTTAATTAGCGCGAAATTGGCCAAACGAGCCGGCAGCTGTTCACGCTGGAGGCCTCCAGACCCACCACCAACATCAACACCAATACCAACACAACCTTCGCCAGTTTCGTCCTTTGCATGCTAATCGGTAACTGATCAGGACAGCCAATAGCGTTAAAGGTCAATATGTATGTGGCAATAATGCGTGCATTAGGCAAAATTAAACAAGATTTATCACACACACAAAACGCAAAAGGACATGGTCCTGAAATTGTCACGCACAGGCGAACCAAATCGAAATTGAAACGTTCGATAAATAAATACAAGCAAACAGGTTATTTTTTATTGTTGTTGTTGCTGTTGCTGTTGGGATTGTGCGTGCCACACGTCAATGGAGTGTAGAAAGTGAATTGTAATTCAGAATTCCGGAACGTGCATGTGACACAAATTAACTGTTCAGCAGCATGCCATAATAAATGGCCAGCACGCAGTCCAGATGAAATTGTATTGGACCAAATGAAGCATGAAGAAAAACTCAAATGGAACAGAGCAGCCACCAGCCACAGGACCTCGACAGGAGTCGAACAGCAGCATCAGCAGCAGCTCAAATTGCAGTTGAGAAATCGCAGCGCAGTTCATAAATAAAGTGGCCAACAGCAGGGTGCAAATGCCAGGCAGCGGGTAAGCGGGCTGGGAAGCAGCCACAGCCTCATGAATGCCATGAATGAAGCGCTGTCAACAATGCCAAGCAACTAGAGGGGGACTGCGTACACAATTGAGATAGAGAGCGGAGAGATTGGGGATTGCAACTGCAACTAGTTGCCTGTTGTTTGGCTTGTTAGCGCTGCGAATGCTGCTGCTGCGTGGAAGTTGTTGCGGTCAGGACTTTGTCCAGCAACAAGATAAGATAAATGTTAAATTTGCACCACATCTCAGTCAAGTTTTATGAACAGTGGCAACTATGAGAGCTGAGTGTAGCTGGCCGTGCAGTAAATCAAATAATGTGACCGCTGAAAGCTGATCAACTAAAATTAGTCCATAAATAAAGAGTTGATTGAAGAGCAAATTTTATTTTGCCATAAATATATTATTGCGATAGACAAATTGTATGCTTTATTACGCATGGATTAGATTGGCTATTAACTATTAAGCGTAATTGTACTCAGTAGCATTCGCTTTGGCATTGAAGTCGCGACTGTCCTAAATTGTTTTCTTTATACGGCAAATTGTCAGACTGATATGGGTATCGGAAGCGTACTTGCCACACAAGGCCCTGCCCTCCCTTCTGACAATAGGTATCTAAGTCATTTGGAAACAAGGGTATAACATAAGCGTTATTCATATTAAGTTGTTTATTTTTTTTTTGTCAATATTAGAGAGACGATATGTTAAGGCTTAACTCTGCTTTGCAGGATTATTTCGAAATATTAATTTACATTGAATATTACTTAACTATTTTCCAATGCATATTACAAACATAAATTCACCTAATCCGCTTAAATAATAATAACAATAAACTTTCTAATAAAAAGTAATTAAAAGGAATATAGATTAGTTGCGCCATTATATAAAGAGCTTTAAATTGATTGCCTAACAAGTGAACAAGCGCACATAATAACCATCAATTTGCAGTCCACAGCATTACGCACAGCCACACATATGCGCTAGTCAGGATCATTGTTGAAGCTTTTAGCACTCACACATACACACACAGGCAAGCGACACGGCCATTATTGTATAACAGGATTTTTAATGAACCTGAAAGTGCGGCAAGGTGGCGTGGAGTGAGGCAAGGCATTTGCTTTTAGCTAGTGAAGCGTAAGCTGGACTCATTGTCAACGCCGTTTGCCTAATTGACAGCGGCCGGTTTACACGTGGCAACTGGCAACTGGCAGCAGTCAGCACTTAGAGCTTGAATCTACGCACGAATTTAAACAACTGAAATTAAACATTTAATTGCACAAAGTCAACAACAATGCGCCTAGAGCACTAGGGTAGCGATGGCTTGGTCTTACAGATTGATGTTTGAGTCGCAGCAGCTGGCACTTGGCATTGGTCATGCGAGGCACGTAGATGCCATCCAAATGAAATGGAACTACGCCCCACAGGGGACATTGGGTGCGGAAGTCAGGGCAGTGGCTGACTGTTGACAACAACATTTTTGGCTGAGACTGTAGCAAACAAACGTTTAAACTGGTTTTTGTTAAGGGGGAATGGGCAAAGGCATTTGCCTAAACTCAAACTCAAACTCAATTATTCAAATGCCATGATGCGAGTGCTGTAACTGCGTAGGCGTGGCACATGTACTGCGGATATGCGCCGATACCCGCAATTTGGCGTTTAATCAACATGCTCAGACACAGCAAATACTCAGCCCGAAAGCTATTCTGGCAACGTGCTCCATTGAGAATCATGGGTTTTGTGCCACAAGTTCATGTGTTTGCTGCGGTCTGGCCCAACAGTTGTCACTTGTTGTGCTCTGTTGCTCGGCGTGTTGTTGTTGTTTTTGTTGCTTTTGCTGTTGTCGCTTTCATCTTAATTGAAATCAAATCAAAGTGATTTCACTCTCAGAATGTAATTGTGTGGCTTGCTGCGTGCTTTTGTTTTCCGCAATTTCGAACTTTACTGTTGTTGCCATTCTCGTAATTTATTGGCTTACATTTTTTGGTCGGATTTGTCAGTCGGTCTGCTAATGATTACATATTGTTCCTTGTGGACAATATATATAAATTTCCAATTTTACACTAAATTTACTTGTATTCTGTTTGTTTGCTCCCTGTGCTGTGCTATGCTGTGCTGTTGTTTTTCATGGCTTAGTGTATGTTGAATTATTTATTCCGAAAATCGTATTTGTTGTCACATGCACGAGGGAATTGTGCTTACAGTTCACCTGCAACTGGGCTATGTGTGCTTATTAGATTAAATAGATTACGCATACTGTAAGTATATAGCAGAGCAGTCCTTATATTTTTATTATTACTTACAATCTTATGTGTGATAAAGAATAAGGGAGTTATGAATTCTGCATCACTTATACGCACCGTTAACACGTAGCAAAACTGCAGCATTACGCGAAACTTCATTTAGCACACATAATATATATGCAACGTTTACCGCTAGGTACACCGAAAAGCGCCAAGGACCAATTACGCATACGCAGAGTAGCACATAAAAGATTTGAAGTCACGCGTCGCGGCGCCATAAAACGAAATCAACTGAATATGGGCAATATAAAAAGGAGTGGAGCTCATTAAGGCCGGGGCAGAATGTGCATTGCGGTTGGCCATTTGCCTCCATGACGGCACGCAACAAACCAAGCGAACTCAGCTGTTGTCCTCAAGGACTTCCTCATACAAGCCCATATGTATGGGTGTGTGTGTGTGTGTATGTGAGAAGGTGTGTGCGTGGCAGTCTCGCATTTATGATGTCGCGCCATGAACGCACATTAGCAATGCGTGAAACTCAACACACTGAGGTAATCTTCGGCTGCTGGGCAGAAATTAGTTTTGGCATTTTATCAGGCCAAATTCAGAAGTGCGGCGAAATGCATAAATTTAGATTTATTTGATTTAATTAAGTAAAACTGATGCCACATAAATAAAGCACGTCTGACCTAGCAAATTAAATCAAATTGCTGAAGACCTAGGACAAAAGCAAAAAACAAGGGCCCAGAAAATCTCGTAAGTACAGCCGAAAAGGGTTTAATAGCAGCCAAGTGCTGGAATTTCAACGAAAACAAAGTGACCGCAATTAATTAGACACAAGGAGATGGAAGCTTGCGGCGTCGGCAATAAAAATAATTATAATGCTACGAAAATGTTGGAAAAAATAAAAGCTCTTTGCGGAACTCTAGAAAAAGAGGAGGAAACATGTTCACATGCATCAAAATGTATTAATTTTTTTATGCATAATATTTAATTGAGAGCTATACAGCATCGTCTAGGCTTTCTCATGAAAAGCGCATTAAATATGGAAGCTTTCGGATTTTTATTGTGGTTTTACATATGCAAGCGGCGATTGCCAATGTCAGTGTCAATGTCAATGTCAATCTCAATGTCCATGTCAAACTGTCGTCCAATGAAACAAGCTAACAAAGTTAGCAGGCAGGCTGGCGTTTGGTAGCTCAACGGACGCATGAACTTTTGCAGCGCAACTAATGTGAATTCAATGTCAAATTCCTAGGGTAAGGTCGACCTTCTAAAAGTCAGTTGCGTCAGTTCGTCAGCTTTCAAAGCCAAAGTCAATTAAAACGATGAGAGACAACTAAATAAATTTTGCATTAATATGCAGAAGAGCTGATATATATGCAAATGAAGCACGCTGCAGTTCAGCTCCTTGCAGAGTGTGTCATTTAGGCAGCTTAATTAATATCTGAACGTTGACGGGCATCAAAATGTGCATCAACTACTTATAAAAGTGGAATTTAATTATTTATGCTAAATCATAGTTATTTTAAGCATTTAACATTTAAATATGTTTAATGTAATACTGTACTTATTCGCTATATTATCACTCAAGTGCAACGTTTGGAAAAATGTTTATTATTAAATTGTTTTAATCGCGTGCCATAGACAAGCAAAATGCAGCACTACATTAACTTGCACAGCAATCCACATGTCTGTGGTACTATCTAGACATCTGTCTATTCTCGTATGCACACAATTGCTTGGGTTTGTGTGCGTGTGTGTGTGTGTGTATGAGCACATACTTTCACTTGCCCTCAATTCTCATGGCGTGACTTTTAGTCTCCCTTGTGACGGACGAAGTCGCATCCTTGGCTGTCTTCTGTCTTCTGTCTTCCGCCTTTGGCCTCAGTCGCTGTTGTCATTATTGTTATTACAATTTCATTGTTGTTGTTAAAACTGTTTTGCTCTGCTTACTTATCGCACACATTGCAACGCCACACATGCATCGTCTGGCATGTCGTCTGACTATCTGTGTGCATGAGTGTGTGTGTGTCGCTGTCTCTTGGTGCAACTTTTTTTAAGCATTCGCCACAGTAAATGCTCGAGCGTATAAATTGCATTTTATTTGTGTTGCATTTTTTCTGTTCATACCCTGTAACCGACAATGATGCGCTAGTACAAACTTATGCTTAGATATGTAACAGGCTTAAGGCCTTGCCTCAGAATCTATGAATTATATATAATCATATATTTACGAAACAGCTGATAACATTTAATATTAAATATATTCACGACAGAAATGCATAACAGATGGACTCCAAGGGTATCTTAAGTCGAATAATTGCGTGATATTATTTGTCACTTGTTATTTATTGTTACTCATGCAATATTTAACAAGGGCTTGTATTGTTTGCACTCTTTATTTGCCGCCTGGGTGCAAGCATTTGAAGGTCAAATGCCGTATGCAGCTGCCTGACAGACAGTTTGACAGACACACAAACCAACAGACAGCCAGTCAGCTAAATACTTATAGGTTTTGTTGTGTTGGCCGCAGATTTTGACTTGTGCCATTTACACACGCATTACCCTCGGGCCATTGCCTTGAAATCCTTTACATTATTTTTTTTCCCGCTGCCGTTTGCCAGCTGTCAGTTTCTCTCTGATTTAATCATTAAATACATGTAATCCGCAGTGCTCTCATAAATAATGCGAGCAGAATTGAACATTAATGCCACTTATTTTGATTGTTGTACGTTGTGAATAAAATTTATTACTCTGTAACCAGCTGATTGTCGGTTTAGACAAGCAACAAGAACTTACATTTTAATTAAAAACGATGTTGTAATGCATTCAAATTGCACCTAATGTAATTGCTTCCAAAATTTACATCAGTATTGCATATATTAAATTGGATGTATACAAATGGATGGATATTTCCGAGCGCCTTGCTAATTGTGTTGATGTTGTGACGCCATTAAAATCAACATCTATCATCATAATTCATAATTTTATTAACAGACAAAAGCATGCATAGAACAGATTGCTTTTGATGTTGTTGCTGCACAGCGTGGCGTATACGCAATGTGTGGAGCTATACACATGTTGCGCATACGCCGCATGTGACGGCTTCAAGTGACTTTGGCAAATCATTTTTCTTGTTAATGCATTTAACATGGTTATTAATCAAGCACACACACACACACACAAAACACACTCTGCAAACATACAAGCAGACGCAGATATACGTACAGAGTAGAACCGAAGTCATTCTGTTATTGAATCCGGCAATTTGAATGGATCCGCAGGCATTGGCAATGGAGAAGCAATAATTGTTGTGGTTTGCCTTGGCAGCAGCCACATAGATGATGCCATTACTCAACCGCATTTGCCTTGGTAAGCAACTTACTGGCTGTCTTTGGACGGGCTGGCATATCGGCTTGTGGCTTCCTAACAGCCCCGCAGCAGGCGATTCATGTTGTTCAAGGCTTCGCAAGCTCAACCCAGCCTAATCCCAACATTTATAATGTATATATACACAGCAACACATTCACACACATTATATATATATATACATATATATATATATATGTATATAAGTAGGTTTGGTATATAATCAGCTTTGGAGGATGGGATTTACCTTGTACTCCCCATAAGATTGTGCGTACAAATTACCTGTGCGATTTGATTTCATTTCCTTTTTGTGGGAGCTGCTGCCATTATCAAGCTGCTCGATTTGTTTCGTTTATTTGCTGGCCTGATTCGGCTTCGGGAATTATATTTTCGTGGTTTCTTCTAGACGCACTGCAGATGAAAAATGTGTATAGAGCTGATTGAGTATGGGCTGAGTATGGCATGGTATTCGACAGCTGTCGAATTTATAATGTGGCATATAAATCAAATAAAAGGTGCGATGAAGCATAAATCACTTAAACCAGAATTCATTTGCTGCATAGTTGAAATTTTACAAAAACAAAACCAAGGTTTCAACATTTCAATGTAAGCCGACGAGCGAGATAATTGCAAGAATACAGCAAAGGGGAATTTACTTTAATTAAACCAAATGCATTACATTTTAATTGAAATAGTTTGAAGCTTATCTAAATATTCACAGAAATATTACCGGATCGCGGTTGAAGGCAAACTAAAGGCACATATAACATGATGTGAGCACAAGAAATTAACTTTACAAATTTATAAATATTTTTTTGCGCGTAAAATATTTGAACTAATTATTAAGCTTAAAGCTAAAATATCATTGGCTTCATATATATGGAATGCCTTACATTGTGTTTAGGTGCTGCGAAACTGTGAAAAGCAATTTAAATATGCTTTCAGTTGGCACAAATTATCAGCATATCAGTCTAAGTGTCTACTAAGACCCCCAAAAGTTCGCACTAAGTCATATTCAACAAGGAAAATATATTTGCATCGTTAATTTCTTGGCTGACTGGGAAAAGTTTTCGGTGCCTTGGCATTTGCGGCTGTTGCCGTTACTCTCATAATTATCAAAGTTGGTCAAATGGGCTGCTCTGGGGCAGCTTTGGAGCTGCTGGGGCTGCGGTCGAGCCCCATTGGGCATAAGCGCTGACAATGAAGCGTCCGCCCACAATGCCTTCAAGTATGCACTTCAATTACTAAGCGAGGGTTTCCAGTTTGTATTGTGCCAGGCAACTAATGATAGTGTTGGCATAATTTTGAGCCCAGGACATGCTCATAATTGTGCAAAGTGCCGTTTTCCAAGTTGTGCGGCAAAAGTTATTCGACATTGCTGCAAACGTTGATTTAAATTAGTAAATTAGAAAAAGCCTAACTGCTGCGCAGAGCAGTCGCGTCGCCAGCCGCAATGTAAAGTCACTTGACGTTGGTGGAAGTTGTCGTCAATGTCAATAGCAGCAGCAGCAGCAACAACAGCAGCTGCTTGGACGTTTTCGTCCTTGCCAAATTGCACACACAAAAACAAGAGCATAAATTACACAAAGGCAATGGAAAGTTTTTTGCCAAAGTCTGAAGTTTCATCATGTCGAAGACGCTCCAAGTCCATTTTCAACAGCATCAAAGTCGTTGAAGCACATAAGTTGGAACTTTGGCCAACATGTCTAAACGTATGCATAGCCAGGCCCAAACATTATGAAGCACCGCCAGACAGACAGACGGATAGTCAGGCTGGCCAGACAGCCGGAGAGACTTCCCGTACGTGCCAGTCAGACACCCAAGAGTTAAATTTAACTCAGTCCAGAGTACACGTAGGCACTTTACTTCTACATGAACTTGTTTTTGTTCAATCAACAATAAACCTATATAGCTATATAGCTATAGCTATAGCTATAGCTATAGCCAAATGTATCTATAGCTGTGTATTGTTCGTTGTTGTAGCTGTTGTTGTCACTCAGTTGTTTGCCTAAGCTCAGCGAAGTGTGCCCAAGATATTTGCGCCTGATATGCGTCACAGCGATTCGAGTTGAGCCTTCGTTGAGGCTTTGTGTGCGGACGTGGCAGTGCCTGTGCTTATATACTTGACTATGGCTGTATCACTTATGTAGACTACGCGATTACTTTGCACTAATAGAGTAATAACCGAAGCACAACCTTTTGAATTACACAAACAATACATGTATTTGTTTTGCATTTCGCCTAATGAGCTGCCTCTGATGCCTGCCTTGGCAGTGCCTCCTGTTTCCTGGAAGCGGAAATAACCCGGAGACACGTGCGCACTGAAATTCATCAAAAAATAACAAAAGCATGTTACGAGAGAGGTCCATGACAAGAGGAAGCTGTGACTCGCTAGGCACGAGTGATCCATTTATGTGCGAGAATATTTTAATATGAAAATTTCATGCTTCCTGCTGCCAAATTAATGCGCACTCCGGCAGCCAAATAAAAAAGTCTGATTTTTTCAACGAGACAAAGTTATAAAATACTCGAAAATTTTACGCTCTCCGAGCCATAACTGAAAAAGCGCGTGATGGCACAAAAGTTTTTAATCTAATGATGAGTTATTAGCAGAGAGGGTGCGGGGTAAAGAGCCTGCTGCAGCTGCAGCATGCGATATGCCGCCGAATATGCCGCATAAAGTGTTGCACAAAAGAGAATTAGACTGCCGCTCGCGTTTTTTGCCTCTTTTTAAGCCTTTACGATTTGATTGCCTGCGAAAAAACTTGATTCGCGAACCCTTTTTTTTTTGGCCATGAGCCTTGGCCAGTTTTTGTGGCACACATATTCCAGGCAGCGAGGCGTGCATCCTTTTTTGCCTGGTCCTTTTTGCCACCGAGTGTGGGTGCGACTGCTGTGCGCTGAAAGCAAGTTTCACAAATGATTTCACATTTTTGCATAAATAAATGTCAAGTGTGCGTCGAGGCGCGCTGAGAGTTGTTGACAGCTTTCTAATAAACCCAGTGAAAAAAGGATAATCATACAGGCCCCAGCATAATCAACAAGTAGATATGTATCCCTGTGTGTGAGACTGTGTGTGTGTGTGTGTGCGCGCGGGTGGGTGTGGACATCCCTGTGTGTGTGTCTGTGTGGCGTCCACTTTAGCTTAGCAATAATAATAATAACCTTGGCTGCCATGACGCCTCGTATTTTTCAATGTGGCTCTTCAAGAGCTTGGAAAAACGAGACTTTTCTCATATATGAAAATGACAATTTCCATTGCCACTACAAAGGCACTTGCTCAGCTACAGGGCTTGGTGGAAGGGCGACAACTCTCCCTCCCTCTCGTTCTTGCTATCATTATATCTATCTCCCTCTATATCTGCTGGTCTTCATGGCTGCGTGGGTTCCTTGGTTATTTTAGGATTGCCTGGCAACGGCGTTGGCAATTTTAATAATGTTTACTTAAGGCGCAGCAGCCAAGCCTGTGCATGTGTGTGTAAATAAATAAAGCAGCAGTCAGCAGCAGCATCAGCAGCAGCCAAGTGTAGCACAAAGGCGCCACAAAGCAAGTGTAGTATACTTATGCGGGCTAGACAAGGGCTTGCAACCTGATGTGCAGCGAGGCATGCCAAATGACAGCTGCTTGTATTGTATGTAATAAATGGCACCAGCTTAACAATCTGCCTTCAAAATGCACCCAAGAAATGCAACCCAAAGTGACACTTTACGCAGGACAAAGCAAGCGGCATCTGCAAATCTCCGCTGCTTTCTTCTTTCAGCTTTTGTCATGGCAATCACTGCTGCTCTGGCTATAAGAACCATAATTTATAGCACTAGCTTAGGCTTGTGCTGCTGCTAGTGCTGTGCGTCCGAAAGTCATAATAAACCTTTCTAAAATTTATATAAATATCATTTCTAAGCTGCAGCTGTTGCCTAATGAGCGGATTAAGTGGCCTGCCACGAACTGCCTGCCTGGCAGCCACGAGCCATGAGCTCTGCCGACTGCAATGGGGCGCTTCCTTTGCCAGTTCCTGTTCCGGTTTCCGGGCAACCCTTTTGTTGAGCATAGCCAAGGCAATCTAAAATGCTGCCAGCGACAATAGATCTTAGGATTTCTCTTACTTTAAGTTCGGTCTCGTAAACCTTGCGCACACGTAATGTGCATTGCTCATTGCTGCCATGTCCTGGTAGGGCATTACTTATACATACAACACGGCGATGGCCAAATAAACCAAATAAAAATAAATACGACACATGTAGAGGGACTAAGCGAAACAAAGCAGCAACCATTTCTTTTCTAGTCCCTACATCGAAATCTAGCGCATTTGGCACGCATGCTGCCAGCAAAGTCCTGGCTCCTTTGTTTGGCAAAGGATTTGCTTCCTGAAGAGCGTAAAACAAAAACAAAAAAAAAAAAAAACAAGAATATGTATGGCTGTTCATGCGTTTATATTGGAAAATATTGATTTACCTGCTATCAAAGACAGCTGTGACACGCTGAATTTGTATGTGCCACACCCACTGCAACGTGGCACATGCCTTGCCTTTATACCACCAAAATCCAAACACATAAACGCAATAATCAATAGAGATTTGCTGGAGCTTACGCTGCCTCCACTGAGGGCACATACTGCCAATGGAGACTGTAAATGCGAAACGTGCGACTCTAACTGAGATTGATGTTTTGCGGCACGTCATGTGGCGTCACAAAGTAATGCTCAACAAGTGCAGTTAAGGCCACATCATTAACATTTGGCCGCACACTCAATGTCAAGGCAACCGAGCCAACTATATGCCCAGTTATCTCAGGTGCTAGTTATATAATTGTTATGGTTATGCACATGTCTCTTTGCCGGCTCTCATGCGTGTGGCAGCAATTACGCGAAATGTTGCAATGACGCGCGTTTCCTTAGGCGTAGCAACAGAGCATGATAAACGGTTGCTAGGCATGGCTTAGGTTTACTTTAAGGTTGGTTTAATGCATTTAGTTCTAGTAGAAATTCATAGGAAACCACCAAAAACGGAAAGTAATTTAAATACGTATTTTGATTCAATCAAAATGTCCAGTATATATTTATTTTACCATGAATTACTTATCACTTAGCACACAGCTTTTAAGAGAGTATGAAAATCATATACTGAGCATTGTCTGTTCGTTCAGTTAGCAGTCTCTTTGCACTGTTTCCGGCTCCCTTGCCTGTTTGGGCCATCTTCTGACACTTGGGCATGGTAAAGTATTTTTAGCCATGCTTATAATTCACGAGGCTGCCTTCGCAGAGAGTGTATTCACATTGACTTAATAAGTTGACAGCAGACAGCAGCAGTCAGTCAGCGCCACGCTTACACCCACGCGCAAATATGTACACTTACTCACGCTCACGGTCACATTGTTTGCCTAGTGCTACTGGCTGCCAAAGCCCGTTCCC